TATTTATGGTTCTCATAATTCTTATCTAAGCTTATAGTCATCGTATGGTTTCTCATGGAAGTACTACAGCTCTTCTTCTGGGGTAAAACATGTTTAATCTTTTTTTTATAGTAAAAGACGAAACAAGCAGACATGGAAAATTAAATAAAGAGACAATGCTGAAATCTGGTTTATGTTGTAGCAACCAGACAGCTGCACAGCATCACACAAGGTCATGGCTCCACTGTGGCACAGAGGGACATCAATTGGTTCCACAGGTGTTATCTTAGAAGGAGAGAGAGAGAGATATTGAAAAAAAGTTTCTCAATCTAGCATGAAGAGCTGCTTACGAAAACAGAGATGTACTTACGTAATAAGTACACAGCAGTTGTTCAGGCCCAGGCTTGCCATAAACCTCCTTGGGTTGACTTCTACATCAGTAAATCTTGGATTGAGGGAGAGTGTTCGGATAGCGCCAAGGACAGAGTGTCTCAGGTCTACACAAACACAACTGCTTTAATCTCAGAGATTCTGCAGAGAATAATAACTTTATATAATTCTGTATAACTAGAAAAACTCTATATATAATATAAATGCAGACATGGACCAGGCTATGGTTTATATGTGCTCTCAGCTATTAAGAAAGAAGTATACAGTATGGTGTAGTTTAAGATAGGACAGCTAAATGATTTTAAATAGTTGTTGGTCAGATATTGTAACGACCCGATCTAGGATCAGGCCGTAAAAGAATGGTGTGGTGCGACATGTTTGCTTTGTGAATGTGGGTGTAGTGTATGATAATGAGACAAAACTGCAAATTGTTCTTAATAGCAAATTCAAGTGTATTAAACAACTGTACAGTGCAATCACCAGTTTGTCTTTGGATTTGGCAGAAAACACAGACAAAACCCAAAACCCAAACAAAATGACAGCCAAACCCTACCCCTGGTGAAGCTATTTACAAAATCTACCAAAAGAGAATCTATGTACAAAATCTAGGTTTAAATGGGCTAGGCTAAATCGAGGTCAACACAAAGCAGTCAAAAGGCAGTCAAGATTAATTAAATAGGCAAACAAACGAGCAACAAGAAACAAGTGAGCAGAAGTTGTTAGTGGAGCTGAGGAGGCCTCTTTTGTTCTTCCCGCCTGATGACAACATAACCTGAACCTAAGTTAAAAACAAGAACTGGATCATGGAATGAAGGTGCAACTGGGAAGACAGAACAGAGGCCCAGACAAAACAACAACAAAATATGGAGTGGAGCATAACAATATTATGAAATATTTTAGGACTAAAGTAGGTTTTTTGGGAATAAGGTTGTGCCAGAAACTATTCAGCACTACTGGAACTGAATTAGCTTTAACCAAAAAAGTCTCTGTAATGTAACTGGTAAGGAATTTGACAGGCTGATGCATATGGTACAAAACATATGTTAAAACAAATTGCCGCAAATTACCATAGAGAGCCTGGATTGAAAGGCCATAGCCAGGATTGGTTACGTTTGTTACAATCAAGGTACGACAATCAATAACAACACAGAGCAGAAAACACAGGTGTTAAAACTAATCCAGCTGGAACACAGCTTTAGTTTATTTGTCATTTGTGTCTGGCGAACAATATTGATGAAGCTGATACAGCCTATTAAACAAAGATGTGAATAATTACAAAAAAACTTTCAATTGTTTTCTTCACTTCAAATGAAGAAGGTCATTTCATGGAACGAGGCCAGCACAGTGGAACCTTGCTTGTCTCAAAACACACCAAATGTGCGATCAATACTCTGGCCTATGATACCAAACTGCTGTTTTCTCCTGTACACACCAACAGACACGTACACATACCTCTCCATACTTGCCGTGTTGTCTTTCTATCTGATTTACAAACAGAGGAGAATGCTTTGATGACATCAGGATTTGGCAGGAGTTGGGGCCCTGTTTTCCCTCATGTTGGAGATCAAAGACCATCGAGCTGTGGCTGTCAAACAATGAAAGGGGAAACTCCAACAATACCAAGTGACAGAGACTTTAGAGACAGAGACAGAGAGAGAGAGAGAGAGAGAAAGAGAGAGAGAACATAAAAGAAAGAAGTGAGATCAGCAGACCAACATCCAAAATGATAACAAATGACTCTGATGCGTGTGGAGTTAGGACAGCAAACATACTGTTTAAGTTAAGTGTGTCAGTGATTAACATCTACGCTCAACACAATCGATGCAGTCAGATTTGTGAAAAAAAATAGAACAAATAAAGTGTGCAAGGACTGACGTAACTCTGAAGGCCAAACTCATGTCCATCTACATGGAAACTTTTTGAAGTTACATTTTCTTCTCCCTCTGACTTAGAGAGCGAAAGCGAGAGAGAGAAAGAGAGAGTACATAGCAGTTGCACGTGAGGGTCAGACACATGCCTGCTTGTGTAGATAAGGTGCACAACATCAAAGCTACACACACATGAACACACATGCACATGCATGCTAATGTACAGATGCACACACTAACCCTTGGTTGCTCACACAACATAAAGAAGATAGCATGTTCACATTTATGTACATACAATTAGCTAGCCTGAGGCAGCCACATGTGCTCCCACTTCATCCACCAGCTGCCCAGGCTTTGGACAGCAGCTTTTATGGCCTGTTGTCTGGGTTGGGGGTGGGTGGGGGGCTGTTAGGGGGTTGAACAATATAAACATGGAAAAAGTGAGACAGCTTCTCTCCACCAGATTAATAAAAACAGGGGACTTGCTCGTCAAAGCACACTCAACAATGATTTCACCATCACAATACAGACTAATACAGTGACAACTGAACTTGAGGCTTACTCTATAAGTACTCTTTAAGTACAGAGTGAGAATAGAGTAACCTCTCTATAGGAAGTATATACGCAAGGCTGGAGGGGTCATAAAAATGAAAAGCTTTTGTTTCAAAGCACATCATAGACCACTGTTTACCTCTTTTTTATATGTTGTTGAGAGAGGGCTTTACACATACAAGGAAAATCAATGCTATTTTATAATCAATATCATCTTTATTAAAGAAATAAAAATGTGTTTTCTATTATATGTCAGTTGTTATGCTTTACACAAGCTTGTTATATCCAAAACTGTTACATCATTTTGGAATAAAACTGTTCAATTACATGTAGTAAATCATTTTAACAATCAACATTAGAATATGTTTCCCCAGCCATGCTAGAAAGGCACGTATACAAATGTTGACCACCTCTAAAGGAGGCTAATTCCTCATTATATTAATTTATTGATATTATCTTGAGTGTACATTGAGTTGTATCTTGCTAGCTAGCCTCTAGGTTGCAGGCACATCTACTTTGGCTGCAGCCTCTCAGTTGTACCAAAGCTACATTTGTGTCCTTTGCTACTTTTAATAAAAATACATTGGGATCCTTATTTCATCATTGCTGTCTAAGAGATAGCCAGTTAGAACTAGCTCATTAGTTTGGCAACTAATACATTGTCTAAGCAGTAGCAGCTGCCTACCTAGAGAACCTATTGCCAGATGTCAGTTCACTGACATCTGACTTGGCCTGACTTGGAACCCTGACACAGGCCTGACTTGGAACCCTGACACAGGCCTGACTTGGAACCCTGACACAGGCCTGACTTGGAACCCTGCATAGTCACTGAATGTCACTGAAAATGTCCTGCTCTGATTTGAGCTGAATTCACAATGCTGTCCAGTGGCAGTAAAACAAGATGGGCTGTAGATGGAAGGCTGTTATTCTCATGGGGCCTGGGAAAAAAGGACCGACCAGCTGTCGCGGAGGCCATCTTTCTCTCCTCAGTGCTACATGTGAGCAATTATGGTGAGAAACTGCCCTCTTCTCAAGACCGTGGCTGGCTGTTGTGAAACCAAATCTAAACCTGCTTTGTATCTAAGAGGTTTGCATTTATCTAGAACAATACACCACCAAAGCCAACATAATTTGAAACCAGATTTGTGTCAGGATCAGCACTCTCCACATACGTGACCCAGCCGCTGCTGGTTTTAATCCCAGCAACAATTTCACACCAGGCCCTTGGCACATCACATTCACATAATAGCCATGCATGCATAAAGTAATCCTGACTTCATCCAGACAAGACCACACTGCGAGAGCAATGGGCCTTACACCAGCAACTCTGTTAAGCTCCGATCCTATCCCACTCGACCCAGGTCATTCCTGCAGTAATTACTTGAGGGCAATGAAATCTGCGTTGACGTCCTGTCATTCTGGTTGCAAAAGTCTCTTTCCAGTCAAGTCAAGGGTTTAACTGTTACCTAAATGTTCTCAGAAGTTACATAACGAGAAGAAAAAATGGGCCCAGAACACTGGAACTGCCAAACTGAGTAGGTGTCAAATAGCATGACATATATGAAGGTTGTACATTTGTGTTGTTCTTTCTAGGCTTATTATAGAAACGACTGGCTCATGTGATTTCTTACATTGTGTGGACTCATTTACCTCTTCACAGAAATGCCAGACATTTATTTGCCTTAGGTTAGTGCTGGTTTCTTACATGACATTTTTTCAGGAAAGTGCAGCAATAACTTATTGGATGTTATGTTACATTTCGCAATTGCAGCAGCAAACCAGCTTCATATCAAAGCTTGTTACCTTGCTTATGAAACTACTCATTAAGTTTGTCTTTGCATGGCCTTGAGGGAATACACACTGTATTGTTTTCAGCCAACCTTCTCTGCAATTGGCTTTTCTCTCAGACAAAACAAAGCTTCTAAATTGCTGGTGTAGACACAGTCACAATGGAGACGGCAGCCACATAGTCTTTCAAAATGAACATTCAACATCACAATACAGGCACAGGGTAGACCCATTCATTTGCAAAATAACAAACCTGTGAAACTCAGGAAGACTACCTTGGTCTTTTTTAAGTAATACGTTAATGCTTCTTGAGTTATTTACAATGTTACATGTTTGTTTTTATGTATGTTTAATAGATTTTACTTTATTAACCTATCATTTTACACATTTCAATCATGCATACCAATGGAACAGTCCAAGTTGTCAGTTTTAGTTCAAAGAACTGAATTTATTTGCCATGATAATCATGAAAAAGCAGTCAGACATTCGCTCACATGTACCATAAGGAGTGATCATATAGGATCAGGGGCAGAGAGACAATTACATACCATTGTAAAAATGTACAAATCTACAGATTTACCCTGATAAAGTTATGGCACTGAAGCATATAGGTTACACAAAAACAGAGGCCATGCCACTTTATCTGTTTTGATCACTTTTTGCCATACATTTTTTAGCTAATTCCCAACTGTCTTCAGTCATTTGATAGGAAAATGGCTTCTGAATAATGAGAAGCAAATACGCCCCACCTCACTGGCTATCCAGCTCTATTGCATTTAGTTCAAAGTATAAAGCAGAAATGCAACCACATGTTGTTAACATGTTACCACAGCATAGACCCCATTTATACCTGATCGTTCATGTATCTTGAGTACCAAAAGTGTATCTGGATAGAAATTACTCACTTAAAAAAGCAGGTGTAAATGCATCTAAAACTACTTTACATAGTGCTTTTAAAACATTCTAGTCAGAAACTGTGACAGTGCCTCCCCCTCTTGTTCTGCTTATGGGAAAGAGACCTCCTTCTTCAGTACAGCTCTTAACATGAGTTTACCTTGTTGCCATTGTTGTTGTTTTCACTTTGTTGTTATTCACTGCTTTGCTACAATATTATGCTTTAATGCATGAGGTCCATTACCATGATGACAATTACAGGAGGCTAATTACTCTAAACAGCCATCTTCATCAACTGCCAGTGTAAGGAAATGAACAACGGCATGTTAAATTGTGATTACCAAGGCAGCAACCAGGTTGTTGTATAAGAGCTCATTTGCATGGATCCTATGAGGTTCCATTCCAGATACAAGTCACAAGAAATGACCAGGTGGAAATAGGGTCATAGTGTGAATCAAACATAAGGCCCACTGCAACACTCTGATAAGTTAAAGTCATTATGTAAAACACCAAGAGCTCTACATTACATGAAAATAAAACTGAGGTGAGGGAGCCGCCACACACTGTCACTTTCACTCCCTGTGCAGTTCTCTGTTAGCAAAACACAAACGGATTCATGTTGTCAAGACGATCAAATTTCACTCCAAACTCCAGAAATTTCACTCCAAACTCCAGACGATCAAATTTCACTTGAAACTCCAGAAAAGATTTAGTGTGTTGTGAAATGATTTAAGCCATTACTCAATGCTAATGACTACAATGATGCTAATCCAATGAGGCGTCTGAAATGAGAGCTGTTTGTTACAATATACTGTTGTTTTTTTGCCATATGAGATGCACTTTGAGAAGCATTGACTGAGTGGTCACCAACAGCAACAGCCATCAAAACGCTGAGATGAGAAACTGTGACCTCAAACATGGCCAACAAAGAAGTACCATTGTGCCAGTCCAGAGTGCGACAGAGAGAAAGTGAAAAAAGTTAATCAAGACAGGAATAGCTCTGAGATTGATCAGCAGTGTTGGCATGTGGCTGCCATTGTGAAAACAAATCATATGCACATTTATCAAACATTGGTAAATAAATACAGATCCTGTGCAACAAAGAAAGGTGGAGCGCATGATTCAAAACCATAACAAGGTGATGAATATTTTGTTTCTCTTTAAGAGATCCAAACACGTAGCTGTCTTGAATAGCCATTAAACCCGCTCAGGGAACCGGCTAGAATAGTTCAGCATAGCTAAGACAGCCCTAGCTAATGAAACAGCTCATAGCTGAGACTTCGTAGCTAACATGCTAGCATGGCTCACAGCAGGGTAAACATCTCACTGAAGCGACACTGCTCTTCCCTCACAACTTAATCTCTTTACCGCTGCACTCCAGCAGCTCCACAGTCACTTATTAGGAGTCCATCTGCTTGAGGCACCCAATGTCTGAGAGTCTTTCTCACTTTGACCATTTGTGTCAATGTCTCAAAGGTCCTCACTGGTTCTTGTTATTGTATACACACATATTTCTTCCACCAGGCCTTGGAGAGCATCTTCATCTTATCGGCCGTGCTGCGGACCTTGCGTTCCCGCCTGGCCCGTCTGTCTGCCTGCCGAAGGCCGGCGGCAATGGCTGCGTCGAACACCTCCTTCAGGTTCTTCTGGGTGAGAGCTGAGCATTCCACGTAGGTTACAGCGCCGATTTTGTCAGCGAGGGTACGGGCGTCCTGTTCAGGAACGGGGAGTTCGCGTCGACGTGCCAACTCGATCAGCACCTTAACGTCCTGTCGCAGGTCACACTGCGTGCCTACCAGAAGCACGGGTGTCATCGGGCACCGCCGGCGGATCTCAGGCACCCACTTCTCACCCACGTTCTGGAAGGAGGCGGGACTAACCACGCTGAAGCAGAGCAGGAGGACGTCCGTACGTGAATAGCAGAAGTGCCTCAGCTTATCGAACTCATCCTGAGAAAGAATAAGAATGAAACAGAGAGACAATTAGGGTTAGAAATGATTATACAACACTACCATGTAATCAGGTGCTGGACAAAACACCAGGAAAGCTGTAGCAGGACGTTACAGAAGAGCTATTATTTGCTGCTGCAGACAGATTTTCATAAAAAAAATTATAATAAGGAAAAATCCCACAAAGCAGGTTCAATTCTAAAATCCACCCTGGAATTTCAAATCTCTCCCTAAATAACAAAATCTTCTTATTAGCTGCAGGGTGTTTTATAATTCATGCAATCAATTAACTCTAACTTTATGGGTTGGCCTGTACTGGAACATCCCAAAATCACTGCGGAACAGACTGTTCAAACTGTAATCTTTTCAAATCTGCCAAGACGTGTAACTCAGACACACCCTTCCCCCTCCCTCCTCTTTCATACTGCGCAAATCAAGTAAATTAACACTATAGATCCACAAAGCTTTAAAGAACAGGGCCTCTCAAATCCTTAAGAACACAGACTTAGCCCAGCTCAGACTAGAGTGCTTAACCCTTAACTACCCAGTCTCTTTATCCCATGAAACATTGCTGCAATATATATCCAGGATTCTTGCAATACATTGTAATTATGAAGTTATGATTGAACATCTTTATAAAACAACTAGTTCTGACTGGGCTTAGCAGGCAACAAAAAGCAGACTTCAAGGAACAAAGCCTAATCAGCAAGTGTTTTCTGTGATTGCCATGACAACTTTCCTTCCTCTTTGAAATCTATACGAAAGCAAGGCCGTCTCAGTGTTGGAGAGATTGCTTATCAACTTGCTTTATGTTTGCCCAAGCTTGCCTTTCGCAGCTGTAGAGGGGATTTGCTTGCTGTGTACTGAAAGGGCAGAGCCGTTTATTGGTTAACCTATACAGTACGCGATAAAGACTTATGACTGTTTGGAGAGTTCAATAGGTGGAAGGTTTCGAAACCTGTGCAAAGAAACAGACTCAGTGTTGGCAAAATACCTTAAGGATTGCAAAGAGTTCTAGCTATGAATGAAATGCACACGGGACTTGGATCTATAACTTCAATGCCTTTTGATAAACATCTTTCATAATTACTGCTTCTCACAAACCAACAATGCTAAAGGTCTTAAGTGAGGAGCTGCGCTGGCAGGCAAAACTTTTGGTTGCAGAGAGGGAGAGAGAGACACACAGAGAGAGGGGGTGAGGGGGTGAGAGAGAGAGAGAGAGAGAGAGAGAAAAAAGAGAGAAAGAGAGAGAGATAGAGAGAGAGAGAGAGAGAGAGAGAGAGAGAGAATCAAGAATGAAAGAAAGGACTTTTTTTACCTCCCTCTCCATGGTTGCCACATAATATGGCGTCAACTCTAATCTGTTTTAATTAGGTGGGTCTTAAACTCTACCACTTCAAACTCACTGCAAATCCCCTCCACATCCCTCGCTCCCTGAGCTAGCAAAGCAGTCACTCTGGTCCATAATCACAGGGGCTACACACTTGCATAAGTGACCTGAACAGACATTGGGTGAGTTTAAGTTCAGTAGTAAAGTGCAGGGCTTCTCAGCCTCACAATATGGCCTTGAAGCTTCAGACAGCCCACAGACAGTAGGAGCAGAACACTGTACTCCCTTCAGTTCCTCTGAGCCCCCAACAGGGAGTGAGTGTGCATATATTCAGGTGCTGTCAAAAATGTTCTGATTTTAGTAAGAAAACTAAAAAAACACAGAGGTAGTCTAGAATGTCAAGACACAAAAATGGTCCTGAATTTGTAAAGTGCTTTTTAAAACACTTTAAAAGAACTAAAATAATTATTTTTGGTTAGGGACGTTTAGGTTTACATACTATTATACTTCCTGACATTGTATTAAAATGTGTGTGTTTGAGCGAAGCAATAGTGTATTAGTGTTTTTACCTGTCCGGCTGTGTCGCAAAGTTGAAGTCTCACAGGGTGTCCGTCAACCTGTACAACCGCTGGAGTGGAGAGAGAGATGGAGAAATAGAAAGAGAAAGGTAAAGACAGAGGTGAGTCATTTTTGCAGCCCACACCAACTCAAACACAAACACACACACACCTGCATCCACTTATCCAGTCTACACTTTATATCCAAACAGTCTGAACCAGCAGGTCAAAATATGCAAGATAAGGCAACAGCCACAAAAACAGAAAGTGGTCTGGGATGTTACTGTCAAAGTAAAATCCATCTCACAGCAAAATAGAAACTAGACCGTGTTTACTCCAAAGAGATTCAGGTGAAACCTGGCTGGAGTAAAATCGGCCTCCAGACACAGAGTAAAAACAGCAGGCCTTATCGTTCGGCCGGCTCCATTGTGTAACTGTGCCCAAATCCCCTGTCATTTGATCTGCCTTTGATTCTGCCCTTTCTCCCTGAAGTGCCACCTGTGGAATTGCATAATGACTCTGAAATCAGTTTTCAGTGTCAGATCTGGTTCAAAGCGCTGGACGATGACATCACTCTGGGCCACGGCCACACAAATCCCAGTGGAAAAATAGGCCTGTCACAGGGAGGTAAGATGATCTCCTCCTCTCACAGATTTTACAACAGGTTGGACTCAGTGGACTTTAAGGGACAAACTTTCAGCCAGATAAAAAACATGCTACTGTATACTTAACAGGCAATACAATTCTATGTTATACTTACTGTATAACAACACACTAACCCTATACAATAACAAATATGTAATAATGTAATAATAAATAAAAATCTATTTAATTCAAATGTTGTAGCAGAAAATGTTGAAACTTGGCTGAATTGTGTGTTGACAAAGAATTTATGACTAAAAACACAAGAAACTTTATTCAGTAAACACAAAGCTGGTGAACAACCTGTGAAGGAAAACAGCTTATCGGATAAAAACACAAACTCTATATAAAAGCGTGAGTCACGGAGTCCTGGTGAAAGGTTTATGAGGGACTTTATCGCTGACTCATAGCTCCACATGTTGGCATCAGAGCGGAAAGTTGAGCAGAAAGAGCTGCCAGCAGACCTTTCATCTTTCTTACCAGCAGACGGCGAGGCTAGCTAGATAGCGTAACACCTACTATATGATTAGACACCTACTGTTAAACAGCAGCGTTAGGTAGCTAACTTCTCTAACTTGGTTTTCTGAAGATGCTGTTCACCTCTTACAGCTTATTTAGGCTGCTGTGTTTTTATTATAACCATATAGTGTCCACTGGTAGTTGTACTTCAGTCATGTTTAAGTCTAAAAAGCTACATTTAAGTGTGAATAAAACTGGACACTGCCAGGCTTCCTGTACGAATTTTCTCGTTCCACCTTAAATGGTGCCGCAGCTACATATGTTCTGGCTCCTCGGACCTCAATCACCAGAATGTTACTGCTGCACCACTTAAGGTGGAACGGGAAAGTTCGAAAGAGAAGCTGGCGAATAATGAAGTAACCTTAACGTTACCACTATAATAGGTCCCCACAATACCCATTAAGCCCTAAAACACGGAGAGGCTGCCGTTTAACTCACCAGAGAAGTGGTCGAAAGCTGTGGGGACGTATTTGGTCGGGTAGCCGTTGGTCGTGTAGCTCACCACTAGGCTGGTCTTGCCAACGGCTCCGTCCCCGAGCAGCACGCACTTCAGCGCCCGCTCGTCAGAGTCGGATGGCCGTGGAGGGTTCGGGTGGTGAGGCGGCACCGGAGGGGCCATCAGGTGATTACGATCCATTCTGGAGGGTTAAAACGGGCTTTACAAACGGACGTCGCTGGTCGCTCGTACACGCCCAACGGAGTGAGTCGCGGATACACCATCAAAAAGTGCTCAGGGTCACCTAATAACTACGTTAACCGCAGAACCAAAGCCGGAGGTCATAGTCGCTCCAACAGTGCAGTGTGGTTAGACTGCTCGCTTTCTTCTGGTTTATAGGCTATTAGAAGATCCGTGTCCTCAGTGTTTCCACTGAAGATGCGTTTACCCCGTTACGAAGCGCTCATGGACGGAGATATAACGCACACACAGAGCTGCACACTGAAGACCGAGTGGTCTTTTAGAGCAGTCTAGGATTTAACTCTCCTCCCATAGCGAAGACTTTCCCCACCTGTATTCCGACCAGCTCCGCCTCCGGCGCTCTGATTGGCCAATACATCATTCTCCAAACTAGGCGGACTGCTGATCACTGGTAATCCCCTTCAGAGGGACTTAGACTAAATAGTCTGTATCATTAGTGGCACTAAAGGGACTTTGGTTGCTTTGAACGATTGACATAAAGTAAATTCAGACAATCACTGTAGTTTAGTGCAGGCTACTTTATAGTTTACTATAAGGTGATCCAAAGGAACACGATATGATGCGAAAATTTTATTATTATAGAAGTGTTATACACAGCACTGTATAAACATTATAGTTTCGTGTTCTATTGCTGTAGATGTTTTTAAGGCCAGCTCTCGCAATATCACTATAAACCAAAATGACTGCAAAAACATTATTTCTCAAAATCTTTAAATATTTTAAGAAGAAACAGAAAACAAGTCCCAGATCCCAGTGTAAAATCACCTACCCCATTCATCTACACTTATTTAGCCTTATGATTACCGTCTAAAAAAAACATCCTAATTTTATCTATAGATGTTCTATAGGAGATGTGGTAGACTGCGCTGAATAGACTTCCTTGAGAATGAACTTTTAGCCAGTCCTTATGCAGAGGGGGCGGGGCTTGACTGAATACGGGTGGGAATAATAACCCCGTCACAGGGTTTGAAAAGAAGCGCGTGTTTTGTTGATGGTTGCTCATACAGCCTGTGGACATTTTCCTTATTCCGAATGTTCTGTTCATGGTCTGATATCTAAGACTCCTCTGGTCTGTTTTTTGACCCAAACAAAGCAATGACGCTGAACATTCCTCATGGTTGCTGATGAACTGGCCACTAAACTTTGGGGGCGCTAAGAGACACCCTCACCTACCCCCAGTCATATTCCTTTGAATAGAGTCTATCGACTCACTGTGTTTTTCTACAAACAATATAGTGTATATTTTACAGTACACACTCGGGACCCCCTGATGGGGCCCTAAGCATCTGCCTACGCCACTTATAGCAAGAAACAGCCCCACATAGCTGTCCAGTATCAGATGCCAGAATCAAGCCAAGGTCTTCACAAAGGCTTGTAACAACAGGCAGGTTGCCATTTTGCAAAAGCTGGAGTAACTATTTACATTTACTCAGTTATACAGGAATATTTACATAGTAACGTTTTGATAGATTTGTAATTTGGTTCTCTTACTGAAGTATTTGTGTTAAACAAATCTACTTAGTACTTAATCTGTATGTGTTAGCTTAAGTTTATTTCAGATTTAAATGACCCCTGAAAGAGAATGAGAGCTTTTTTCTGCTCCTGTTGTGTTCGTAGTTAATTCTACTTCTACATGAGTCATTAGTTTACTGAAGTCATTGAAGTATTTCGGCTACTCCAACACAGCCTGAGTTGAAAAAGCGTCAGGTTAAAAAAGTACTCATATAACTTAAGTGGAACTTCTTAATACCTTCTGAAGCACAGGAACTGAAGTCTAATAGTAAAAAAGTGAAGAATCATGACATTCCTATGTGGCTATGGACAAAAAATCTCATTGCATTCCGGTGCCCCCAGCTTAGTTTATAGATATTGACTTTATGAGCTTATTTTTTTGTTTGTTATTCAGTTAGTTTTCTAGTATTATTGATTGGGAATCACTCAGACTTCCAAAGTTATGTGACTGATGAACTGCGAGTATTTCTGAGGACCTATGTGGAGTTTGCCTTGTGAGTCTGATGAAGACACAAGCCAAGACGTGTTGAGACACTATTTTTGTCTATAGCCATATTATAATAAAGGCTTTCATTTAATGAAGAGCGCCATGTTTTTCACTTTTACCTCTCGATTTTGAACCCCTGGCCATGGAGCACCTTCAATGCAAAAACTTTATTTCCCTACCAGCAGCACTCTTTGTGTATATTTTAATAGAGTTTAGGCTACTCCACGTATCTCTGCCTTTAACACACTTGTTCCAGCTCCTGGAGAAGTAGTTGATCAGTAGAATAATAAGCTGTGTTGGACTGTAACAGTGCCTTAGCCTGCTAATAGGGAACTCTGGGAACAAGACCAAACATTTTCTATGGTTTTTAAAAGACCAAATCAAAACGTATTAAACTGTTTCAAACAATTCTCTCTCTCTCTCTCTCTCTCTCTCTCTCTCTCTCTCTCTCTCTCTCTCTCTCTCTCTCTCTCTCTCTCTCTAGGATGCTATGCTATTAGAGCGTTGTATGTCGCCACCTGGCGGTCAACATTCAAAACTGTGACTACCAAAAATTAGCCCCTTGAGGAAGTTAGCTTTAGCCTGAAAGCCCTTTAATTTGTATCTTTGAAGATTTTAGCAACAGAATATTGTGTCATGTTATAAAATGCCTTTTCAAAAACACAATTTGAAAATTTCTTTTGTATGTTGTCTTTTTTTGCCCACAGCCCATCACTACCCACCCAGAGAGAGAAAAAAAAAAAAAACTCCTGCTCTAAACTTTTCTGCAGGCACTCATATTCACTCCACTTTTTTGACAGTAATGTAATTTACAGCATGTTGTGCAGCACACATAAACATATGACTTGTGAAATTCATTTGTTTATTTCCATATTTATTTCCAACTTATTATTGCAAGATTCAAGATTTGTACTTTCTTGCTAAAAATACAAAAAGGCTAATGGGAGAGATAGAGAGTCGGTGACAGTCAAATCAGCAGCGTTAACACCTGTAGTGTTCACCAGAGTAACTCCAGTGTGTAGCAGTTTAACAGCACAGGTGTAACTATAACACTGGTGGTTTCTCTGTGAAAGGACGTGAGGTACAGTACAATGTCATTTGAAACCTTTTTTTTCTCATTCAAGTTTAGTTTACATGTACAATTTTTAGCGGACAAGGGAAAATGAAGGATCATTGAAGAAGCAGCACAGAATGGTGGATCATCTTTGGGCACAGTGGGATACCACAATACCTCTCAAAGTAAGTTTACTGTAGTTTTACAGTATCTAAACTAAATTTACAATATTCTTCAAAACAGCTGCAGTGAAAGACATCAGTGTCTGCAGGAACCTGTCCAAACAACTCCAGAGAAAAACAGAACCAACACTGCACTGCAAAAAAGTGAAAGCATCTTAAATGTCTAGAAATAGGTTGAATAATCTTATAATGTTCTTAAAACACTCATTCTAAGTAATATTTAATATATATCCTACAGACACATTACAATTAAGATGCTATCACTTGCTTTTTTTTTTTACAGTGGGGCAGTTGGGACTGTTGAGAGGTTATTTGGACAATATCAACTGCTCGCCTTCATCATGCCCAGATCTCTGAATGCTGAGACTCTCTCATCATACATCACACATAATAAAAAAGAATTAAGGCAAGCCACCAGGACTGGGGACTTTGTCCAGGGTGAATCGATTTGATCAATACTAGCAGTGAATCTTTAATGTGTTCGGTGATTCACACAAAGGCATGGACTGTGTTAGGACACTTCACTTTATGTGGATGGCCAGATGGCTATTTAGGGTCTCGATTAGGAGAATTTACAACACAGAACAGCTTTTTTCTCTGTAACAGATCAGATCTTGAACTGAATGGCTTTAGTTTTCACCAACTGTTCATTCAGCTATTACCAGTTTTCATTCTGTTCAAGCATAATAATCATATGCCAAATTATAACACTTTCTTTGGGCTAATTGTAAGAAGAGTGAGAAAACTGGCCCCAGGTTGGTGTAAAAGTGTGATGTCTATTGACACGCATTCACCATATGAAACATTCCTGATTGTATTTAGGACAGATGTGGTAGATTGTATTAAACACAATTCAACGTCATACATTTTTAAGCACTGTCGATTTACTTTGGCATTACAGCATTTTTGTCTTTACGTTAATGCATTACATAAGACACACACTGTAAATATCACACCCTATGACAGATACTTGATTAGTGCTTTAACGATAGATGCAGTTTCCTCAGTGGATTTTAGAGAATATTACATTCTTAAAGGGGAATTCCACTTAAAAAATAACTCAATGGATAAGATGTAAACAAAGTCACTGAGAGTGTTTTAATGTAAAATACTGTCATTTAGAGAAACTCGCTGAATCAGAATTGTTCACAGTGGTGGTGATAGGAACCAGAAGTCTCTGGCATGTAATGCTTTTAACCTTTTAAGGTCAACACAAAAGTATGGCTTTTTATGCTGCTTAATCTGCTGTTGTTGTTGCATTCACAGTTTTTGATATGTAAAAAAGTGATCTAACAAGCTGAAACATCAATAGGAACCATAAGTCACACATCAGTAGCGCTTTTATCGTTACTTTTCTAAAAGAAAACAATAATAAGCTTTTACTGATTACAAACACGCTCTGAAGGAGTTTGCATGCTTGCTTGGAAAACCTCACAGTGCATCCAGCAATAAAGGAAGACTTGTGCATCTTTTATACAGAGATAAAAAAAACAGCAGCACATAGAAGGCTCTGATATGTTTCTCTGTGGCCAACGTGGTCAAGCAAATGTTGTAACTCATCTGGTGGCAGATTTAAATGAGTTAAAGGGGCCATTGCCAAATTCTCTGAATGGCTCGCTTAATTCCTTAGGGTTAAAAAAATTGCATATTGTCGCTGTCCAAAAAAAAAACCTTTAGAGGTGAAAGCAAAACCCTTCTTTACTTTTAATATAACTTAATGTAAAGAGATTTTCAATAGGATGATTTTTTACACAAAAAGGTATTATTCCAAATATTTTAATACCAAAGAGTTACATGCAGGGAATTTTTAGGCAAAATCATCCTAAAAGCAATGTATTTGTTTGCATTTACCACCATGATCAACATTATAGAACCTCAGAAGACATGCGTAGTGGGGGCATTGGTTCGGCATGTATAGATCCGGGGCTCAGCTTAGTTCACTGAAGGATTGTTTTGGACTATCCTGACCCACAATTTTTTTTTTAAATGAATTGACGTGTAAACAAAGTCATGGAATAAAAAAACATATTAAAACAAGAGTAAAAACAATGCTTGTAATCAAAAATAAAAAAAAGCTAACTCAAAACAAGCTATTCCATCTAGGTAATGTTGTTAGTGTCTTGATAAACATTTAAGAAAAAATATCGGAATCGGATTTTTCACGCGCAGGTCTTGGTTTGTTTTCTGAGTGATTTAGTAATACAGTGACGGGTGATAGTAGATTTGGCAGAAATGTCATGCATACAAGCATTTTCTCTCTTGTTTTTTCTCTTGCATGCACACTCTCTTTTTTCTCTTTTTTTCTTTCCCTCTCTTTCTTTCTCTCTCTGTCTCTCCCTCTTTCTTTCTCTCTCTCCCTCACTCTTTCTCTCTCTCTCTCTCTCTCCCTCACTCTTTCTCTCTCTCTCTCTCTCTCTCCCTCTCTCTCTCTCTCTCTCTCTCGCACTCTCTTGGATGCGCTCTCTCTCTTGCACGCGTGGGCTCTTTAGCACTCTCTTTCTTGCATGCTCTCTGTCTTGCTCGCTCTCTCTTTTTCTCTGTGTCTGTTTCTCTCTCCCTCTCTTATGACGTTATAGTTTAGAGCTGTGTAAAAGCTCTGGTGTTCGAGAAGGAGGTGAACGTACCCCTGATTGAAGCAATGGATGATAAGAGCACTGTGCAAACGAGCCAAGATGAAACGTGATATGTTAACATTATAAGGTTCGGGTCTGGTTAAAAATAAATATTCAGGGCTAGAGTCCCGGAAGCCCAGGTCAGACAAAGCTCCTGATGTGTAGGTTCACTGGTCATTTTGGACAGTTAATAAAATGGCTACATACAGTATGCATTGAAGACATTGTGACCCCTGGTTCCTATCACCACCACTGTGAAGAAATCTGAATAAGCTGGTTTCTGTACAATTAATCATTTCATATAAACCGCTCTGGCTTTGTTTACATTTGTTTACAAACTTTGGAAAAATCAGTGGAATTCCGCTTTAACAAAGTGAAAATGTAACTCATTCACTTTTGCAAAAGGATATGTAACACGTTTGATCATTACATTTGGTGGTGGTGATGTGTGTCTGGAACACTGCATTAATCCGCCTTCTTTCAGCATAAAATAAAGTGATATGTTGAAAATATGCTACTATATTTTCTGTTTATGTTTTGGAATATTATATTGACAACAAATAACAATATATTTCATTTTCATAGGCTTGTAATGCATCTCAGGTTAAAAGGAATATGTGACAAAGCTTTGCATCAAAGAGATCTTGTTTTAAAGATGGATTCAAAAAGGCCAAAGGAAAACAATAGAAAAAGAAAATGATACTGCAGTTTTAATAGCTCTCACATATTGTCACAGGATGAAGCTGCACGTCCATGACTGCACACATACACACACGTCATTCTCTTTAAAACTGTTAAAAGTGAAAGAAGAACTGGCACTCTGGTCCTGGGCTACTTGGTTTTGGCTCATCTTTAGTGCAGACTCCGGTCATTCTCGTTTCAAAAAAGTTCTGGTGCACCACCCCATGTGTTCAAGGCTCGATGGTTTGATGACATCATCAATTTCTTCTTTTTTCCAGACAGACTTTCAGGACTCCACTGAGCCATACATGACCAAAAAGTGCCTCTAAATTCAAATCACTTTTCCACTCTGTTCATCCTTCATAGATCCTTATTTCCTTGTTCAGACTACACCATATCTCATTACCCTCTATTACTCTGAAAGTGGTGCTCCAAACAGTTGATTAAGACATCTGAGTGACAGCCTATTGTTCCTCCCTCATCCTTTCTGACACCGCCCCTCTGTGACACTTCACTGGCTTTTGGGTTTGGCTCCACCTGGGGTGGGGTCAGAGGGAGGGCCACCACCCTGGGCTAGTCGAGTCAGGCTGAGGTGGAAATAAGAATGAAGAAATTAGCTATTAGATTTGCCTTCATTTATATTGTTCTAATTTATATTGTTAACTATGCACACTGTGCCAACTCTAAATGGTCAATCAGCTGTTACAGACAGAAGTGCTATTATAAGCTGTTTTCCTGCAGTTAAATTATAATCATTGTGATCCAAAACAATAAACAAATCTTAAGAAATCAAATCTTAAGAAGAATGAGAAACTAACAATAAGATATCTAGAAAAAAAAACGTTAAATGACATCAAAAGAAAGGGCAGTCTCAAAAATTTGAGTGATAAATAATGCAGATGTGCTTCACAGCTTGGCCGTAGGGAGGCGCCACACTCACATGTCCTTAATGTTGTCAATGTGGGCTTGTACTGTTGCAAGGATGGTGTCCACTTTCTCCTGAATGAGTGGAATTTTACAACAGCTGTAACTATTCAGTGACAACAATCAGATCTTCTCCACCAAAACCAACCAACTAATCTGAAAACGAGGGCATATGAGCAGGTTTATGCGAGAAACTGAAAGTGTTACCTGGTGCCGAGTATAGAACAGGGGGACAGAAAAGACAACAATCACACCTGTGGAGAAAATAAGCAAATTAGATTCCACTCTGAACTAAGTAAGAACAATATCAATAATGTAGTTTTCACACTGACAAACTAATGCATTGAATTTATTTATTCAAATGTGTTAATTTCCACATTATTCCACAAATACTATATCAGCAGAATCATTCTGCTCTTCTAGAGTACAATTAGTGCCTCATCAAATATCGATTTAAAATATCAGTCAGATCTAAACAACTGTCTAATAGTGATTTTTTTTAAAATATTTGCCAACGCTAATATGAATCAAGTATCATTGTTCATCCATAATATTATCCTTCTCTGTGATAATGATACTTACTTACTTTATGAGATTTCTAATAATATGTGACATTTAAAGTGTGTGATGTAAATGTTTTATTTTAAACAACAGACATTAAAGTATATGTAATATCTTACATATTGTAGGTTTAAAGAGACTTCGTCAGTAAGGAGCCCTGGCATAGAGCTGCTGCTGCTGTTTTCCATTTCTAACAACTGACTGAAACCTGCTGAGGCTACGGCTCATGTTCACTGTCACTGAGGTATCTGTGACTTCCAGAAGACCTACAGTGATGTTTTTCTCATGAAATCGGTCTCAGCCATTGGAAATCAAAGTGGTAGGTGGTTGATTCCTCTGTCACCTTTCAATTACACTGGTAGTTAATGTAACGTGCTACATTAATTAACATGTTACATTAGTGTGTCTAACCAATGGAAGAGCCAGTTTGACTCTATCTACCTAGATAGCACAAGGAAAAAATCCTCATTGAACACTTTTTGTTTGCCTATTTTAAAATTTTAACCCTTTTGTTTCCAAGTAAAACTTCATAATGAAGTAATTACTGCAATACTTGCTTAGTTTAAGCACAACAGGGCTTAGGTTCCCAGAAATCATTAGACCTTCTCTAGACTCCCCACTGAATGTATTATACTACAAAAATATTGATGTGAAAAATAATAAATAATAAATAATGCATTGAATTCACTTGATTCAAATGTCTACATTGTTTCTACGTGAATACAATATTTTGTATCAACACATTTATTGCAAACTAAAAGACAAGATTGTGTTTGTGCAATTTATAAGTCATGGATGTTTCCATACCAATGATGAGCAGAGTAAGGCCATTGCAAAGGGCTCCCAGATACGTCACCAGATACATCAGCAGGAGAAACTACAAACAGAGGAAGAAGTCCTTTAAGTAATACATATATGAAACACAGGCCATGCAAAGTTACAGTCAACTGACACTCTTCACATTTACACGTGACCTTTGGTACCAAGGTAAGGAATAGTGATGTTATCTAACACTTGATGAGCTTGTCATTAGGGTTTCTCCTAATATCCGTCAGTGTGTTTATTCCAGTGCCCCTATGTCTGAAACTAGAGACCCCTGCACTGAGAGAATGAGATCTCTCTTAACCCCTCTACTTCTGAGGAGCACATGTGTGGCCCATCTCACATACCACACAGGTCAAAATGTAACACCATGGGCTTCAGCTCCTCCTAAATAGGCATCTGCATCTCACTGGAAGCAGCACAGACAGAGCAGAGTTTTAGAAATTGTGCAGTTACAGGGCAAATGGCATAGTTTGTCATAAATATAACCCCAAATTGTGATGAATCACCAATTTAACCCTCCTAACCCTCTTCTTACACTTTGCTTACTTATTTTTCATTTAAATCAGTGGAGAAATTTGTGGAAAGTGTAGATTTAGAGTTGTAAAACCATATTTGTGTTTGTAAGTAGAAGAGGAAGATATTTAATGACGCATTGAATTTGATGAAAAGTTATTGTTGTGCAGTGTTGTGCAGTGTTTACATTCTTCTAAAAAAGTCAAGTGCAGACTCAAGCATGATGATAGACAATGTAACTCTGTTATTACAATATCTAATAACTAAAGTATTACAAAGTTGTTAGCACATGTGAAGAAATACCTTATTCTCTTGTTATGGTAGAAATGAGGATACTCAAGACAATCATCATGATGTAGATGTACATGTACATTCTACAGTACTGTCTCAGCATATCAGAGTCAAGCTATATGTCTAGACTTACATGGAACAGCCAAGGCCAAAAATATAATCAGAGAAACTTCATACACAGTCTTCTATGTTTACACAGCATTGAGCGCAAAGTAGGGGTCAGAATACAGTGTTCCCAGGGCTAATGGCAGGAGGTAGGACAGATGAAAGAAAAGCAGGCTGAGAGAAGGCCATAGACATGATGAAACGAAACAGGAAAAGCATGTTTTCAGCATTTTGTGTTCAGTTTGAAACATTAATAAGCATCTCTTGTAAGACATCATTATACCAATTACTTCAAGAGCTGGAGGTTTTGAAGCAGGGGGGCAGCTGACATGCATATCTGAAATAATGAGAATGCCTGAGCAACAGGGCGTTAAGGATGAAAAGAAAAGAGCAGCTCTGCTCTTGTAAATGTCAATAGGCTAACCAAAAGCAACAGAAAGAATCAGGGGAAAATCTAATGAATACAAAGAACAGAGAGAGAAGAGTGACAGAAACAAGACTCATGATGGAGGAGGCCTTTCAAAGAAAGTGTGTCATCAAAACAAAGATGAAGAGAAATTGGTGGCATTGGTGCAAATCTAATGGACAAATTAACAACATAAATAGCTTGTGTTCACCCATTCCTGTAATTTAGAAGAAAAAGCAAGGTGAAGATAAGCTGGGAGAGATCATGATGGTTCAAAATCTAAAACACTGTGTACAATTTGTCCACATATTAAAGTGCCAAAAGAGTTCTATTTAGCGATGCCATATACGAATTTTTCAACTGAGTGGTTTCAACTGAAAACCAGCCACTGAAAAGTTCTTTAGGGAACCAAAAGTGATTCTTTAACAGTGGTCATTGACCCCAGTCCTGGAGATCTACCTTCCTACAGAGTCTGTTTCCTATAATTACAACTTGTGACTCCTGCTCCAGCTAATTAACTTCTTCAGAAGTCCCTGCTTGGCTCAGTTAGTTGCACTAGTGTTAGGTAAGGGGGAGAATGTTAGCTGTAGATTGGAACAAAACTCGTAATGGACTCTCAGAAACATGTCAAAAACATATGAGGGTTGACGTTAAGATTAGGTTTAGGATTAGGGCCAGGGGTTAAGTTAGGTTTCACGTAATGGAAGTAACATATTAGCAATACATCTACTTAATGTAAGAAATGTATCAACAGAACATCTTAAAGATATTTACCTCAATATATTCAGATACTTCACTACTGCTACTTAACTGATGTGTGGTTGATGTGTTATTTATAATCTAATAATTATCATTAAATTTATCAATCATCTACAAAAGACCACTTAAAATAAAGTGTTACCTAAAACTCAGCAGGAATGTAGATCTCCAGGAGGATGGTTTGGTCATCACTGTTCTATGGTATTCCTCCAACTGTTTTTGGCTTTATTTTTTGAAAGTACATCAGGAGAGAAAACAACTGAATCTTTAATAGATTGACTCTGCTAGATTTCCATCTATGAGACTTACCTTGAGGGAGTCAAACAGGTTACCCACAAAGATCAGGCGCTTCAGTGTATCCACAGCAGAGCAGATCATGACAATTACTCTCTGCATGTAGTGGTCAGCTTGTTCTCCAATCAGGCCAATGTCCATGTCCAGGTATGATCTGTAGGACATCAATGCAAAGGCAGAGAGACTCAACTAGTGTGTCTACAGGCACATTCAGTATTTCACAAAGGCTTTACGATAAAGAAGAGAAGAGAAGAGAAGAGAAGAGAAGAGAAGAGAAGAGAAGAGTTATCATGCTCACTTGAAGGGGTGTGCGCTGTCTCTGAGCTGCAGGGCATGTAGGACTTTGCAGTATATCCGTATGGAGAGGGTGAAGCACATGATGGCCAGTGAAAGAGTTGAGACCACAGTGATGATGCTGAGCTGGAAGAGGGACAGCAGGCCCACCACCAGCCCAGTGAACACCATGCCTGTCCGCTCTGTGTCCTTCCAGTAGATCAGGTCCATTACTGCAGAGACACAGAGCAGAGGTCCAGAGAAAGTAATTGGAAGGCCTTCAACTATCAACACATTTAAATAGCTCAGCCTAAAATAATTCTGTTGCTCGTAAATGTACCAGCCACATATTAGCACAACTGTGCTAATGGAATCATGCTAATTAATGGCCCCTAACTGTCATTCATTCTTAGCCATGTTATTGTTTTTGGTCAAACTACTGTGTTGAGGTAGTGCCTAGCATGGCTGAAAAAGCCAGCGGTACAGCAGGAGTCACTGGACCACAGCTGCCTGTGAGGGAAGCTAAGAGCAGGCTTTTGACGAGCCTGGACTAAATATAGGGCATGTAGGAAGGGAGGGAAACGCAGAATTTAACCGTAGCCACTTAAAGCACCTGCTGACAGTACTCAAACATCATCCAGTCCACTCTCTACACCCTGCTTGTTTTAAAGAGTTGGTGCCGTAGTACTCACTGTCTCATGTGGTGAATGAAGAAAAAAGAATGGCTTCCATTATATGATATTTGCTTTTATTCTACTTATTTCATTCAACTGAATCCATGCGCAATCCACAAATACATTAATTCATAGCTTGAACTAGGTTGAACGAGCTTTATAGAACACTGGAAAAAAGGTCCCATACGAAATTTCAGTTTCTTTGCATACATTTTGTTTAGAATCACTACATAACATTGAGTTTTTGAGGACTGTGTTGTTGTGGCTAATTGAAACTAGGCTGGTTGGAAACAACTATGATGAATTTGCTATCATGCTAACATTAGCTTAAAACGAAACCTATCCTAACATTATGACTTTTCAAATGCATGCAAAATAAATACCATTTGAAATGAATCAAGCATTCTAAATATACACATTATAACTTATCATTAGGTTGAATGGGTTATTTGCCAATGTTCTGTTTATCTTAGCAATAAAAGCTTCTGTCCAACCTTGCAACAGTAGGTACAAAAGAACGTCTCTGTTATTAAAAGGTTAGTTGGCGCCTAGAGTTTTGAAAGATAAACTAAAGGAAAAGCTCAAAACAGATCATCATTTCTTATACTTCAAAAAGACATGATGATATTCGTCATAAAATGAGCAATCAAATGCCAACAGAAAGATACACTACATGTGTGATTATCATGAATGGCCTGACAAACTCAGCGGTCCCTCCCTTGTCTACAAAGATTTATCAAGGGGTAGGCAATAGATGACATGCAGCTAATCTATTCAGAATTACCTCAGTGCTAATTCCCATCATGCCTAGCCTTCAAACCTGAGTGACAGGGCACAGCAGCAGGTGGGCTATTTATACTCCTGGGCTACTGTAAGACACTGACTTGGCACACACCTGGCTGTTGTCAGAAACAGGTGGCCATGCAGGCTTACTTCACTGGCTAACTTTAGTCAGCACCCACTGAGACAACCCTGCTTTGTCTGTGTACATCTGCACATTAAACCCCAATCAGGAATAGCCGAAAACACCGTCTGAGCCACACCAGGATTAGCTTTGAGTGAGCTAATGGAAAGCATGGTACACACACACACTAGACATTTTAGTAGGCATGCTGAGATTATTAGAAGGCCTTTGTTGTTGCAGTAATAGCTGGCCTGAAAGGAGCTCCAATTCCTGACCTGTCATAATTATTTACTAATTATTAAACAATCTCCTGATTAAAACAATTTGAGCCGAGATCAATTATTTTCTACAGTTCTTAGCTTTGACAATCCTATGTTTATGTTTATGGAACAGAATGCAAATTGGGTTTTCTTCCATTGGTTTGAGGCAAATAAACAAAGCAGAAGACATTTTTTGACACATGCCATGAGTGTTTACGAAAAGTTCTAAATTCTGACTGGTGCTATAACACCATTAGAGGGCAGCAGTGAGTAATGTTTGTTTATTTGAGCGTGAGCTGTGTCTGTTGTCAGTTGGAAGCTACTATGCATCAAAAGCTAGGAAGCAAGATAGCTAATCAGCCAGTTTGATCACTTTAGGCATGTATTGTAATAGTAATAAAATGAAAACAAACTGTTAATCTTAATTATTTGCATTGCAATTAATTGTTAGCTAAAATTTGTAATTGTGAGAGGCCTAATCTACAGTTTTCAGGATCACTGTTAATTCTACAATAATCAGTTATGTTTGGCCACATGCTGTTACTATATTAAAGTTACTATATGAAAATCATACAATGTTCATATGACACCATATAATGGTCACTTGTGTTAGAAATATGAATTAATCTAAACTGAACTATTACAGTAACAATGTTTTTTATTGGTTGCTTCCTTAAACTTCACAGAAAATGTATTCATCTTGATCCACTTAGAAATCATCACATCTGCATAGGCCAGTGTTGGGACTGCATAAACAAATGCTTTCATAACAATAACAACAACAAGAACAAGAATCTACTAAAATGTATAACATGCATTTTTGCCATGCTTTCTGTTAGTAAACATAGAACCAAATGGATCACATATGACTGTGTTTTTTTTTCTTGATGATAAAGAAGATGATGACAAAGGTGATGAAGTGGAAGATGTGCTGTGAAGATCGTGGTGATGGCATAAATCACAGAACATAGCTTCCCTGATCTCAAGCGACTATTTTAAACCCTGCCATGTCAAAGTGAAAGTGGACTTGCCATTTCTGGCAGAGCAAATTCAACCGCAGCAAATGTCAATCTCCAGTGTGCATTTTTCTGATTAGCAGACATGCATGCTGTGGGTCTGACATTCTGTCTTAATGACCAGAGTCCTGACTCACAAAGCACAATTTCTTGCTTAGCCAGCTAACTTTAAACTTAGCTAAATGTAAAACTAACACTAAAAAGATATCTCTTTCCTGGGAAACATTTCCATGGCAACTTACTCTGCATGCCTCACCTGCTGGAGAAGGTTATATTGGAGATTAAGGACCTGATCAAATTACATGTTTTGTTGAAATGAGTGAACACATCCTCCACAGAGAACTCACTTTTGCAAACAATGCACAATTAATGCTTATTTTTTAAATTTAACATATTAGAAAAAATATAAAACATAAAATGTGGCCTGTGCAAAGGTTATGGCACAATTATATTTATATATTTAATGTTTTTCCATGTTAAACTCAGCAAATAGAAAATGATCACATAAACTAGTAGAAAAATGCCATATTTAAGTATGTTCTCTATAGAAGATGTGTACTTATTTTCACTTAGAAAATCAACAAAACATGTCATTTGACCCGGGTGTTCTATGTTTGTATTTTATCAGTTTAGAGAACAAATGTTTGAATGATAGTAAATGATCTTTTTAGCTGTAAAACAGGGACCAGTGTAAAAATAGATTTCAGTTTCAACAATAATAAACCATGTGTAAAGATTTTATAGAAGGAGAAAATTAAGAGATACCAGCTTATTGAAATGGCAGAAAATATCACCATGAGCATATGGAGAGCTTAACACTTCTGACCACACCCACCAAGCACTTACACACACTAAAGAGAAAACTCTCACTGTCTTGAAATTCTTTGTTATTTTGAAGTCCAAATAACTATTTTCAATGCGACAATGCAACAATTTATTCCACAGTTCCCACACAGTAGCCAGAACCAAGCCTCTCCCTTCACCAAATCAACACTCCTACTAACACACCTCACCCAAGCCAACATCACACATCAACAAAACCAGCCTAATTACTGAAGAACAAGAACAAAACTAACCGTCCTGAATCTCTGCGCTCCTACAAGGGAGCGGTCACCCAAAGCCAGCAAGTCCTGTCACAGCAGAAGCTAAAATGCTGCTCAGCGGCTCGAGAGCCCAGGCTGTCACTGAGAGTTACAAATACCTGATCTCAAATTTCCCGAAGCAGTGACAACACCGTGGTGGGGGCTCAGCCCTTATTTTGTGTATTTTTATGCTTCTCACCTTTACTGGCCATCCTGCTAGCTGCTGGAGGGTGAGCGCTCTCCTGCCACCTCTCTGTCCCCCTGATCAACCTAGGACCCTGCAGCTGTTTCTGGCCTGTGCTGTCAACAGCCCCTCGACCCACTGGCCAAAAATAACACTGATCAATCATACCCGCCCCCAACAAAGAAGACAGAGACAGTCACGGATTGACACTAGAGGGGGATATAGAGGCACACACATTCAACTGCACTCAAGTTACACTCAACTACACTCAGATACACTCAAATACACTTAACTATGCTCAATTACACTCAACTACACTACACTCAACTAAACTATGCTTAACTACCCTCAGCTACCCTCAGATACACTCAACTACACTCAACTACACTCAGCTACGCTGAACTATCCTCAGATACACTTATCTATACCCAGCTGCACTCAAATACCCTCAGATACACTCAGTGACACTCAGCTACCCTCAATTAACCTCGGATATGCTCAATTACCTTCAGATACACTCTTCTACTCTTAACTACTCTTATTTTCCCTCAGATAAACTCAACTACCCTCAGTTACACTCAACTACACTCAACTACACTCAGATACACTCCACTACACTCAACTATGCTCAACTGCACTCATCAATGCTCAACTACATTCATCTATACTTAACTACACTCAGATACACTCAGCTAAACTCAGCTACACTCAACTACCCTCAACTACACTCAGCAACATTTAGATAAACTCAACTAACTGAATGTTAACCTAGACCCCCCAAAGAAGTAACTATACAAGTAATTTGTATTTTCTGTTCATTAAAAAACACAGTTCAACGGCTGCAAAAACATCAAGCATTACACTGTCTGCAATGTCTGTTATTTCTACAATAATGTACAGTGTTCAAGTTTTACAGTTTTATACAACATTCTGTGTTGAATTGTGGTAAAACCTTTACAGTACAGGAAGATTATACTGTACCATACTCTTGATATGTGGCTACTTTAATATTATTGTAATCATGTTGTAATATTGCTTCTCTGCAATTTTATTTTGGTAATCAGCTTCTATTATTTAAATCTTAAAAGAGCTACCTCAACTACTGGTAAAGCCAGCATTAACCTAGCTAGCTAATCTACACTAATGGAATGCTTGTAAATGTCCTTTTCTTTCACCACTGCAACAATAATGCTAAACAGGATTCAGTCTCTATGGGATTTACTGTGTCATCTGTCATCTTAGCGTTAGGCTGGTGTGTATTCACTATACAGCTGTAGCTTAAACACTTTTGGAGCTTAGAAAACACATATGTAACATTTTACTTTGAATGCTTTAGTAAGTACTTCAGTTAAACCCTGTAGATCCCACATGCTTTTCACTGCAGTGGCCACAGACGACCGTGGTTTAGTGGTCTTTAAAAATACAGTTTTGTACTGCAGTAAAATTTTTGGTTACTGTTAACAAACAGTGCAGTACATGTGCTGCAACTCTGATGCCATCAAATTTCTTTAAATTGTGCGTAGCATATAGTGTATGAATATACTGCATAGAGCCTGAATTGTGACTTAGGGTATGTACTATCAATAACAAACAAAGCAACAAGATCTTTATAATGTATAGTAAGACTTTGTCATCTGACACTGCAGCATTAAGATGCCTGAGCATTTCAGAAACCATACAAATGATGACAATAGAGCAGTATGATCGTCTATTAACTGTGCAGTTCCATAGGGGAATGAAAGCCTGTAGCCCAGCAAAACAGAAGTGGAATCATGCTGTGTTCTTCCGTCTCATGCAGTCAGTCCCCTATAATTCTAGCTTTCATCTGGATAAATAGAGCCACCATGTTAATCTGGCGTGTGTACATGTATATAATTAACTCTTCCATGTAAGACAGCAGACATACTAGCGAAGAGCCCCACTTAGCAGAGACAGACTATTACACTGGGAATCCCTGCAGACTGTAACCTTGGAGACCAAACGAGACATTCCATGTTAAACCATAAGCAGTGCCAGGTGGAGGGAAGCCCTCTGTCCACGTTGTCTGATTAGCATGTGGATTCTTTGATGTAAGTGCTTTTTGTACAATATCTGTTGAGTCTGTGCCTTGAGAAAGTGTAGGTCATGCATAATCAAGTACAATCACTCATCATGAAATACATTTCATACAGGAAAAGGACCAGCTTGTTGCCTAACCTGCTATGTGGATGTGTATCGTCGGCCCCTCTGATAGGTCGAGAGTAGAAATCCATCGTTCTCTTGTCAGCTCTTCCTGAGTGTTTTGACCAATCAGAGGTGGTGTTAGGCGTGATGTGTCTTCAGTCTGCGATGTGGCCATGGTTTCCGTGGTGACAGGGGGCTCTGACCCATGAAGCTGTTGAGCTTAGCAATTAACACAAGCTACAGTTACTTTCAGTGCAGTTTCCTGCATGCAGCACACAGTATTAAGCACATTTTTGCTGGATTTTTACTCACTCAAATCCTCATTGCTAATTCCGACTCACAGACTATGACAATCCCTATCACACAGTAGGGGGAATTTGAGCTGATGATCTTTTGATGATTTCATGAAGAATAGACTAATAGAAATGCTCCAAAGTTAGTTGGACAAAGTTGTTTTTTTATCTTTACTACAGCTTATAAGGATGAGTTTGGTTCTGATCAAAAGGGACTTTTGGGTCTATCTCAGGTTGGCTGAGTAAGCGAGTCAGAGAGTGAGTCACATCATGATGTCATTGTGTTAGCAATACACTGTCAAAAGCATGAATCATGTCATGGCACTATCAGGCAGTGCTCACAGTACTCACTCACACACATGCATGCATATGCCTGCACTGCTGCATATTTAGGCCACCATACACAGCATACTTAGAATCGCCTCATGTACCTGAATTCATATACCTGAAAACGTGTTCCAAAATGGTTTCCCAGCTCTATCCTACAGTACCCTGTCCTCTGTATTAGAATGTTATACCTCCTCTAACACCACAGGAAATGGCTGGCTCAGGGGTTTTCCACCTTTCGCAACTCGCTGCCCACGCAAAATATTCCACAGCCCACAAAAAAGTTGAACCAATCTGATTGCTCTTTCTGACTCTTCTAATGAGATAGCCAGTGTTGCTTTGCAGCTACCAAGTAGTGGATATCAGGCTGAGGAGAGGAAAGCTACAAACGAAGTTCTGGCTCAGTACGATAGGTTTAAGTACATACTCACTATTTTTAGTCTCCACGTGACGGTGTAAATTGTTGGGCTTCAAAGCTTTATTTGAGAAGACCTCTAGGCAAACAGCATGGAGCACTAGTTGTTCATTTTCAGTTCTTATGCCTGTGAAGCCCAGCTATCAGTACTCCATGATGGATGAGCTCCATACAATTGAAAAGTGAAATGTTTTAGATTTGACGTGCACTGAAAAATATAAACATAACTAGCATAACTGTTTTGCCATTTTGATATAACTAGTTAGCAGTTTGAAGCATTTTATGAGCCTAATATAAGTATGATGTTTCATTATGGTGTTTTATTGATATTGATGTTGTGTTTTTGCAAATAATCAATTGTGGGTCCACATACAATTTCTTAGAGTTCAAGGGGTTGATTGATCATCTAATATACATCTTAATGCTTTGAAAACTTACTTTGTAAACTCTCTGTAACGCAGTATGTCTGGCTGCCTGAGATTTCCCCCACTTCTCCGGGTGTCCCTGTGTCTTTATCAGAAGTTTCCTCTATGTCTTGTCTGGGGGGCTCTAGAGTCCTATCGATGCTCTCTGTTGGTTCAGGAAGCTCCCCGATCTGACCTGCTTCCAGCTCCCCTTCTCCACTCATGAAGGCATGGGGGTCCCACTCCACAGTGGGGGAGTCTGGAGGTAAGAGAGTTTCCACAGTGTCCACTCGATGCAGTGAGCCCCGCCTACCCCTGCCCCCTGCCCTGCGTCGGCCTGAGTCTCTGCGTGATGACCCCTCACCCTCAGAGAAGGCAATGTAGGAGAACGTGAGTTCAAAGGAGTTCTGACGAGGGGTGCCCCATACAGAGGGACTGCTAAGGCCACCATCATCATCCTCAGGGCCTTCTTCATCCTCAGACCACTCCCTTGCTGTTATCAGCTCTGGAAAGTCTGACTCCTCATTACCACCTTAGAATAAAGAATGGAGTTAGATGACAGCCCTACTATTACTGTTATGAAGTTTTTTGTGTTCTGCAAAGAGTACAAAAGTGACACCTTCATTCAGCCTTTGTACAGTGTTTTACCATGTCATTTACTCCTCTGTGTAGAAAAGGTCAGTGTTGATTTTGTATGTTAATGACCAGGGCTCTCACTGGGGCTGGTAAGGTATGACACTGTGCAGCTCCGCAATGGCTGCAGCGGAGAATATATGTTCAAGGTTTTTAATGTTGTATACACTGAGAGACAGAGAGATCAGACATATATGCCATTGCCCAGCTATCTTTAATAAGGAAACCTTATAATTTCCCTTTGTACCTAGCTTTTGTTTTCCTGTTAAAAACTGGGACATTAAATGCTATATTAGCAACAAGCTAACAGTGGAGCATATAGCAGCTTTCTAGCTTCAACACAGACTCTAAAAGTTCGAGAAAGATATTCAAGTAGCGTTTTTTTACTTTGGATGTTGCAGTTAGGATGTTTAGATATTAAACTTAATATCTCTAAATATTTCTAGAACCTGTAAAAAACAATTGCTGTAAATTTACAGCAAATGACTGGCAACCAGTTATATTACTTTCACAGTAATTTTCCATTAGCAGTCAATAACAGTAAAACAGCAACTTTGCACTGTGACTTCACAATCACCTGGTCTGTTACATTATGGTGATGTAGCTGCAGTCTGCTGTACACTTACAGTAATAAGTTGAAATCAAAGTAACAGTAATCGCATGTATTTTAAATAACAACTGTAAGTGATTACTGGCAGTACTGGCACACGTTGTTTTATTCAAATGTTTATGCTTTTTAACTGTCATATCCCAAAATGCTGTGCAGTACAGCTCAATATCAACTTCACCATAATATTGTGTTATGCAGAAAATATTTTATAATAAGTTGATTTCACAATAAATTGATGAATGCAGTATTTTACAGTGTAAAATTGTGTTAAACTGTGTTTAACTGTGTTAAATATTCAAAATATTCTGTGAAATTCTGACAGTAATTATGATTGTAGCTATTGATGCAGCCGGTCAGTTTACACCAGTAAGGACAAAATATAGTCAAATCAGCACACAGAAAGCCTGTTAAGACCAGCGAAAGAGAGTCAGGTCAAGCAGTTACTAACACACAAATTTAGCATTAGTGACATGTGACATCACATTATATGTTTTACACTGCGCAGTTGGTTGGAGATGATATGTTTGCTCAATGTAACACCACACTATCCACCGTATCTTAACAGCATGTAGAATCACATGGAAGGTGAAATATCCCACAAGAGCAGAGACTTCCTATTTCAGTTTTTTAGATGGCAGGCACAGTGATGAGCAAGACGTGGAACTTTACTTTACTTGATTACTAATGTATTTGATAGTGACAGCCTTTCTAGCAATACTAGTCTAGAAGGAATAATAGTCCAAAAAACTGAATGTGAAAGATTTTGAACGAAGTAAATAGAGACTGTTTTGTAAGTGAATCTAATATGCATTTCACAAATGATCCTACATGCCGCTTTGATATTTGCTCATAGCTTAGGAGATCTTGAGCATTCAGTTCAAAGCAAATGCATTCATGCTTTATCCGAACGAAACTAGACAGGCCACTGCCACAGCACCAACAGGGAGAAGAATGAATTCACATTTTTTTTTCATTTTTTTCAGTGTTAGTACAATAAAAAGAAGATCAAACAGTGAATTTAAATGTGAGAGCCCTCCTGACATTGACAGAGATAATACTCATGAATATATCACGGAATATAAGACACAGCAGTATATAATGACCAATATGTATGAATATATGAATTTATAGTCAGATTATAGGACACAAAGCTGAGCTTACCATCTGTACAGGGAGGAGTGGAGTCAGGTGTTGAGGAGACAGAGCCAAACTCTTCTGAAACAAAAGAGCAAAGGCTTTTCAGATACAGCAGCACACAAACACAGCACACTACCTCACACACTACCGAGGCATCGAGCCAGTTCTTATCCATTTGAATATGAAGTTGGACCATGACTGAAAGCTGTAAAAGAACCACCGCTGTAAATGAATTAAAATAGGTTTAGAGCTGTCTCACACAAAACAATGGAACTGATAGAGGTTGCCTTAAGGGAGCAATTACACTGATTTTTCAAAATTCTGCAATCAGTCCACATTAACAATTCAATGTACATAAATCATTCATAATCATTCATAATAAGTCATTCAGAGTGGTTTCATGTGAAATGGCTCACTGCAGAGAAACTTAGATTTCTTTACAGTGCTGGTGAGAGGAACCAGAGGTTGCAATGTCTGCAACACAAATATGGTCATTTTATTTACTATCCAAAACCACCAGTTAACCTATATGTTTTATATGTGATGTTGATAATGGCAAAATAGTGGTAAATCAAAAATAAGTATTTATACTATTTTTCCTTTCAATGCCTGCATATACCTCTCTGCTGTGGATTAATAAGTTTTAGGTCAAAACATTATGTAAAAATAGCACAAAAACAATGTTTCAGGCATCAGACAACATATTAATAACCACTTCATGTAATAATTTTCTGTGAGGTAGGTTTTAGAGGCATTTAACACTTTGGACGTCTGGTTCCTTTCACCACCACTGTGAAATATTCTGGCTCTGTACGTTTCTCTAGAGTGACACATTTGACATTAAACCACCCTAGATCACTTTGTTTACATCTTAAGGATGTGATTATGCAGAAATTTTATAAAACACTCCATTTTTGACCTAATCCCTCCTAAAAATATTCGGTTCTTCAACCTAATCTTCATCTGTGGTGTCTTTAGTACATGGTCAATTACCACAGAAAATTACCTTCCTACACTCAAGAAGAACAGGAAACCCACTGACTCGAAATAAATTAATGGAAGCCAGTGAGCAGGTGCTTCGGGAAACATGTCGAAACTATTGCACGTGGTAATTTACCATATGCTACAGATGCAGGAGACAGAGATTAGGTTGAAAAACACTGGAGTATTCCTTTAAGGGCACATTCATACAAGCAGCCGCTGCCTTGGTAGGACTGAGGTCACGTGGTGACAGGAGAAACTGTTCTCTAGGTACTACAGGGAAAAGCAAATAGCCAAGCCTAGCGGATAAGAGCTCACTTTGAATAATCCATCATCATTCTTCTATGCTATTGAGGAAGAGGAACAGCTTCCAGCCATTCCTGCTGTGTATATACTAAAGACAAGCTAACTTCTTCATTTGGAATTAAATGAAAAATAGGAAACTGTGCATATTTGCTATGTTAATTTAAATGCAGAACATATTTCACATAGACAGTCAGCCTGACCACTAACAACTGGAAGTCATGCCAACTGTCATTGCTTGAAAATTTTAATTAGCATGCAAGACTTTCATCTGTTTGCTAAGCTGGACTTTTCATAGCCCTCACCATTTTTTATGCTTGCATAGGTTTATTTTCTTTTTTGCTGAACTACAGATACAGCAAGATTTTACCATGAAATAACTATTTCTGGTGAAGACACACAGCAACAGTAAGCTGGCTGTTATACATTTTTAAGACACATCTGTTTTGTTATACCAAATTCATGAAAAAATAAAATGCTTCAGTTCATGTGAATGCACATAGTATGGTTGGCATTAAAGGGCCCATATCGTGTAAAACTAAAATTTCATCCCTTTTTTTAGACATAGTATGTAAACCTTTCAAACAAAATCATTCCCACCCTTGTCATTCACGCACATTGGAAACTAAACTGCAAAAACAGCCTGTTTTCAACTCTGTTATTGTGATGTCACAGAAACAACACATTTACATATTAACGTAATTTATATATGCACCTATTCTGCCTATATCAGTTTAGCCCCGGCCCATTCACAGGAAGTTATAAATGTTACAGTTATGAGTTATAAGTGCAAAATTATGCTAAGTTATGAGTGTTACAGCCTGGACTGCTTTGTGAATGAGGCACAGCAATCAGAACACATGCTGTTTACTAACAACAGTTAATATATCTTAAAAGCACAGTAACAAAAACAATATGTTTGGTAAATAAACCCATACAAATGCCATTTAATGGGGGGGGGGTGAGATAAAATACAAAAAAATGTAAGGTATGGGGTCTTAAATGTAAGAAAAAGATATATATTCTAAATAACTACATAGTACATTGCATACACATGAGCAGTTTTACTGATACATCAGTGTGTAGGGAAATAAATGAATGAATAACAAGAGCACACATGGGCCTATTCATAAGTATAACTCATTATACCTGCATTAGGACAGCTACTTTAGGCAATGCTAGATCAACACACCATTGAAAACATGCAAACCATCCAGCCTATTATTAATGCTTGTTCTCACTCCATTGCTTTAGTCAAATACACACATATTCATACTGGCAATCACTTGTATACAGGTGGTGGTCAGAACAGACCATTAGCACTGCAGCAACAGCAGGATGCAGGAAAAAATAACAAATGAGGGAATTTCAGTAATCTATTGTTAGAAATCAGAAAGGATGATACAGTAGATAGACTACACAGTAGGGAGGGATGGAGAGAGAGAGAGAGAGAGAGAGAGAGGAGGGGGATGCTGGCTGAGGAAACAAAAGAAGCTACTCACTGCAATGAGAGAATCCTAGAACCTGACCCATGCTCCATCAAGGCACTGCTGAGCCTGTCCAGTCCGTCCAGTCTGGACACCCCCTCCTCTCTCTCCTTCTGGCCGCTACTCTCCTCCACTGGATCGCTCCCTTCTCCTCTTCCTGGCTCCCTCACATTCTCTCGTCCTTCTCTTCCCCCTTTCTACCCCTCCTTTAGGGCACCGCTGTCTCTCTCTCTTACTCTCTCTCTCTCTCTCTCTCTTACTCTCTCTCTCTCTCTCTCTCTCTCCCTCTCTCTCTCTCCCTCTCTCACTTGTTCGCTTGGTCGCTTGGTCACTGGCTATGCACGCCCTCCCTTTCTTTCTCCAGCCAGCCCCTCCCAGCCTGCCTCTCCCTCCCTCCCTCGCTCTTTCTCTCTCCCTCCCTCCCCCACCCCCCCCCTCCCACCCTCTCTCTCCACAGAAGGGCTCTAGCAGAGGCAACACAGAGGGAGGCCTGAGTCATAATGTTGATGGGAATGGGCTTTAAAATGCTCTTTTTCTGTCTATTTGTGATATTTCGTCCACTCCTGCTGGCCTGCCGTTAATGTGAATCAGCATCCGCCTTCTGCGTAAGGCTTGTGTGTAGAGAAACAGCTCAATAATGAGATCTTCCTCCTGCATGCACGCTGGCTGTGCAGGGCTGCTTGCAGGCTGATGGAGCTTTTATGTCATGTCAGCGGCCTGCAGAGCCAGAGCTCCACTGCATAGAGCAAATTGAGCATGGTCACGTGGTGAGTTAGCCAAATCATAGTGGCCACTGCAATTTCTGGCATTTCACTTTCATAATTCATACACATACACAATTCTGTTTGGGTGTTTTCTTGGCAGAATTATTCAACTTTTATTCTCTTTTTTAGATAAAATGCATTACAGACAAATACACATTACTGATGGTACTTTGAGAATATATCATGCAGGATGAAAAAAAATAACTAATAAAATATGCGTGATATACTATGTAACATCAGGATTACAGATATACAGAATAATACAGCTTCCAACATAAAGTGAAAAGAAGTTAACATATGACATATTTCTGCAAAATTTAATGGACAACTATTATTTATATGGTGAATTTAATATAAAATCTGGCATGTGCAACCTTTGTAAGGATCCTGTTTGGCCGAAATCATAGACTCAGAATGTTCCTTGTAGACAGCTAACAGTCTTTCTGTTCTTGATTTAGGAATTTTCCCCACTTTTCCTTTTAAAACGTTAAAGTCAGAAATATTCTTAGGTTGTCTTGCATGCACATCATCTTTAGGATGTAATTACAGATTTTCAGTGATATTTCAGTAAAAAGTCTGAGGACTGTAAATGCCATTTCCAAAAATGTAATATTTTGTTTTATTAAAGTAGTTCAAGTTGATTTTGATGATATCTTGAAATATTGTCTTGTAGTAAATTATAACCTTGTTTTGACTTTAGTTATTCACTGACTGTGGGACTAGGGCTTTCAGGATTTGTGGCTATTTAGTAGAATTGTTTCTTATCTCTATCCCCACATTGTTTTATAAACCACTGGCTGCCACACAGCCCCAAAACATAACTGATCCACCCTCATGCTTAACTCTGTTTATGAAAATGCTTCTTCTGTTTTTCTCTAAACATGTCTTTAGTGATTGTAGCTGAAGAGTTCAATTTCTGTTTCATCAGATCACAGCGGTTGCTTCCAAAATGCGCTCTGACTTACCTACACTCTCAAAAGAGGTTGTTCTTCAAGAGTTCTTTAGTAAAGACAGTGGTTCTATATAGAACCATGAACACTCAAAGAAACACTCAACTATTTGCATGCTTAAATGGAGAATGTGTTGTATATGGTTCTATATAGAGCCTTTAGTCTCTAGTCTAAGACAAACTTAATGATATAAAATAACTACATTAAATGAAATATGTCCAAGAGAATAATACGTTTTACACCGAAACATCACAAATAATTCACAAATGACTAAATAAGCACTAAAGAATTAAACAGTAAACAGCAAAAGGCAGTGAACTCTGTTAATACACACATAATCCATGTAACTGGGTGAGAAGGCAGGTAGACTTCAGGTGAAGCTGAACCAATCTCTAATTCTGCTAACTAGGCTGATGTGTCCCAGTTGGATGTCCTGAAGTGTTCAGATGTCAGACTATTGGCAGTACATCATGGTCTCTTCCTGGAGCAGGACAGGCATTATGCTCACCTGTCCCCACCTGACTTGGCAGGATCAGCACAGTTTCTTGTGAATGGATCAGGTCAAATGTCACTACTCCACGAAAAGCTGAAGCTAAAGTTAAAGCTGGTAATCTGCAGTAGCAGGACTGCAGAAGGCTACTACTTATTTTTGGTAACAGTAACATTATTTAATGTTGTTACACGGCATAGAATCTGACCTAAAACTGAACCCTGTTTATCAAAGCACTACATGGTGTCCCATGTTAGAATAATATTACACACTAATATTACACAATTATTATATATTACTGTTCAAAAGTTTGGAATCTCTTGTCATGTTAATGATGGTTTATTTAATAATAGCTTCTATATGTTATTGTATATGGTTGAAATGTTTCAGTCTTATGCAAATTTAAGGCACAGCTGGTCAAATTACATGTTTTTTTTATTTTCTATGTGAAAATGTGGCCTGTGCAAATGTTATGGCACATTTTATGTTTTGTGGTTAAATTCAACAAATAAATAGAAATTGTGCAGTACAATTTGCATGAAATATGCATAAAAGTTTGTTTCCTGTAAAGGATTAACTTATTTTCACTTAGAAAATCAACAAAACATGTAATTTTGTGTTCAACCTCTTGCATACAACTGTATAACCTAGACACCAAAATGTTTTGATTGTTGATTGTTGTTGTTGTTGAAACTGATTATTTATTCAAAAAATTAAAAGTATTTTTGGGGCAGCAAGAAGATTTGAGATGTTAAACAAAATGTTATTAAATAATAAATTGCAGTGGAAGGGTTTCATTTACAAATAAATAAATAAATAAATAAATAAATACATAAATAAATAAATAAATACATAAATAAATAAATACCACTTTCACTTATTTTTTCACGATATATTATTGGGAATGGGCTTTATACATAAAATAAATCTAAACAAAATGTGTAACACATCAGTCATTATTCAACCTCTTTATATTAAAAGTCAATTGACCTTTATTTTGACTTACATTTCGAAGTGCATTGAGGGTAGCCTTCATTTACAGCGCAGCTGAGCATTTTAAACAAGAATTGAAAAAGTTAAAAATTAAATTTAATAAACTTAAACAATTCAAAACTAACAAGACTAAATTAATAAGAGGTATGTTCAGCATTTGAAATACAGCTCTTCAGATTATGCTGAATTAAATTACTTTAAAGAGCTATTTAAACAGTGTGATTCTGTCACTGCTTTTCGAATATGAGACATTCTGGATGTTTTAACTTATGTTCGTCTTTCTATGCCATACAGCTTTCTCAAATATTACGAAATCATCAATAACTCTGTTCATTGAAAATGTTTATACCTTCCTACAAATTGTTCGAAACCTTTAGGATATTAGCATTGCCTAAGATTCATAAATGTATCTTCATCCAAAAAGTTTTTAACATTATTAAAAACAATGCTTCCAAACTTCTGAATGGTAGTTCTTCTAGATCACATCCTCGCCACAGATATGAATAGTGTTACACATGGATAAACTCCCAAATAATGTAGAACCATGTAGTCCAAAGGAAAAGGAAAGCTGTCTTTATGTGAAAACCTATTCTGCTCTGAACTTCTGTTTCAATAGTTGCATTAATCAAAATACATTTCAGACAGTCGTGTTGTGTCAGTGTTATGCATCACAAGCAAATCCAGTTTGTTGCTATGGAAAATGCCTATGACTAGGATTTCTTCGCCATGCATATGGATCCTGTTTCACTGGATGCCTCAGTACATTATGAAACGCTGACATGTTCATAATGTCGATGCAGGAACATGAACTAATCCAAGCTCATTACTGTGAAAGGGATTATAAGGAGTGTAAAACAGAGGGCGGGAGAGGCAGAGTACACAGGGGTGAACACGTCCACGGATGAGTATACACAAATAGCCTGGCCAATGACAGCTTGGCTTGGGAGACAACTAGGTAAGCTGCACAAGTTCACTCTGTTCTGCTAGACACAATACAATGAAAACAGATGATCATGTCTACCTAATGCACTTTATGGGGGCCGAGGCAACCAAAAAGGTAAATTAAATGATTAGCACACAAACTCCACTGCCAAATCTTTCTACAAGTTGACTAAAGTCAACTCAAGGCACTGGACCTCTTCCGAAAGACTAGAGGGAGGAAAGTGAGGAGGAGGGGGACCAGCAGGAAGTTTAAGCGGAGGATCCGGTTGGCCATGAGGACTGCCAGGCGAGCCAGCACCGTGGAGGTGCCCTCGTTTTTACGGCAGTTGGTGAGGGAGACTGAGAAGATGGTCACTTTCTTCTTCAGAGGAGGGCAGAGGGAAAGAGAAGCCAACGGTGACTCTGATCCTGAAGATGATAACAACAATCTAGAGGACATTCCCAGTCCTTACTTGGAAAGACCTATCCTACAGAAGCAGACGGCAGAGGGCGAGTCAAAGTGGGGCATTAGCTATGCCATGGCCAGCATGCAGGGCTGGCGTACTCAGATGGAGGATACACACACCTGTATGCCTGAGATGTCTGACAGGCTCCCAGACTGGAGTTACTTTGCCGTGTTTGATGGACATGCAGGAACCACTGTGGCTCAATACTGCTCTGCACATCTGCTGGATCACATCATCAATACAGGTACATGTTGTATTATGTTTATAGCTGCACTGTCATAAAGAGTGGAAGAACCATTTAGCCTAGGCTTGTATGGTGACATCAGGATCATATGGGTATCACAGATGTTGCTTTAAGAAACTATCAGCATGTGATAGATGTTCAGATTTAACTGATATTTCTAACTGATATTTGATGACATATATAATTCACTCTGGAAGAGTAGAATGCTTAGGAGGGTTACTGTAGTACAATATCTGCATTTTATTTGTTATACTGCATTTATGAATCTACAAGATAAATCCATTTTATTAATGTTTATGTATCAGCATCAGAAATAGCATCATCAAAAATGTATAGTGGTACACAAAAGTTTGTTTTGTTGATTTTCTAAGTGAAATTAAGTTAAAACATGCTCCACAAGAAAAAAACACACTTCTACACATTTTACATTTTTATTTGCTGAATTTAACATATTGGAGAAAAATAAAATATAAAATGTGGCTTTTGCAAAAGTTACATTGTTTTATTTACTTCCAATATGTTAAACTCAAAACTAAAACTAAAATTAGCAGAGAAATGCCACATTTAAGTCTGTTCCCTGTAGATGATGTGTTAACTTATTTTCACTTGTAATCGCTTGTAACTGACCAAGGGTGTTATAACTTTTGCATGTGATTGTGCATGAAATGTGTCTGATACTGGCATCAGCCCACAGTTCTCATGGGGAAACAATCTTTACGCAATGCAAAAGCCTACTAAAATGACTCTGTATAGTAATAAATAGTTCTCCAATCTACATAATCTTCTCGAAGGTGGGATAATGTAATATTTTATGGAACCTCATACCATTCATATCAGTCCTAATTGGAAAAACAACCTTTACCTCAGTAAAAACCTTATAGAAAGATCTGTTAACAAAGCATTCTCCAAACACAAGTACAAAAAGGAAGTCACATAACTTGTCCCAAAGAAAACACCTACAGTTCAGTGGAAGGGCAAAAATAACCAAACATACAGGTCATTGACCCTTAATCCTATTTCCACTGGAAACTAGGCCCTGCAGCCTAGAGTATGGATATGAGGAATGTAATAGATCTACCAGAGCTTCATACCAGACCTTCCAAAACACAGCATCATTAAACTTAATCAGATGGCTCGAGACTGAAAAATCAATTTCTAAGGTAAAATAATAATTTAGGTCTAGGAAGTATGTGTAAAAAAAAAAATTAAACTATGAGAGTTAACATTTAATTGGAGACAATTTAACATAGTTGAACATCTGGAGATGGAAACATTTAATCACTCCCTTTAGGGTTCACTTTCCCCCAAACAGGCCTCCGCCACTCTATCTAAGAATCTGAAAAGACTTTAAGTGTCTCTCTCCTCCCCCAGGGGTCATGACAGCAGGGGAAGACGTGGAACGAGTGAAGGAAGCTGTCCGGGACGGCTTCTTGAGCATTGACCGCCACATGCACAACCTGTCCCGGAGTGAAGGTTGGGATCGCAGTGGCTCCACAGCAGCGTCAGTTATTATCTCCCCACGCAACATCTACTTCATCAACTGTGGCGACTCCCGGACTTTCTTGTGTCGAGATGGTCAGGTGGTCTTTTACACAGAGGACCACAAGCCCTGCAACCCGCGGGAGAAGGAGCGCATCCAGAATGCAGGAGGGTCAGTCACGCTGCAGAGGGTCAATGGGTCCCTGGCTGTGTCCCGCGCCCTCGGGGACTTCGCTTTCAAGGAGGTGGAATGGAGGACTCAGACGGAGCAGCTGGTGTCACCAGAGCCAGAGGTGTATGAGCTGGAGCGCTCGCCACAAGACGAATTCCTGGTAGTGGCCTGCGATGGGGTTTGGGACGCCATTAGCAACGAGGAGCTGTGTGCCTTCGTGAGGAACCGCCTACAAGTATGCGATGATTTGAGGGAAGTCTGCACCCAGGTCATTGACCTCTGCCTCTATAAGGTTAGAGTCCCAGCACAGCCTTTGGGCCATGCACAACAAAACTTTGTAACACGGGCACAGCTGTGGAGGCTACAAGCATGTGCAAATTTGTTTTTTTAAGTTGAGGCAGCGCAGAAAATAAAGGGTAGGCGGAAATATAGAGTAAAAATAAAAATTCCATAAAGCTCTGCAAAGAACAAAAGAAAAACATAAACTAAGTATATAGAGACAGATAACAAGACACAGGTGCAGACAATGATCATGGCAAGGGGGCGGAGGCAAGCTGGATTAGGAACAGGACAGGGGTGGTAACTGGAAAGAGACGAGCCTGGCTGGAGATATATTTTTGATAGGTGGGTCCAGAAATCACAGGTATTTCATCACAAGCTGTACAGTCATTAAATTACATGTTTTGTTGATTTTCTAAGTGAAAAATAGTTAACACACCCTCTACAGAGAACACAAATAGCACATAGCAACATTTATTGAATTCAAATTCTAGATGGTCTCTAGATGGTCCACAAATGTGACCAGTAGGCAGAGGGTGTCTACTATAGTCATGTCAATCCATTCTGATCTCATTACACATTCAGCTTTAGTTCACCTATTTATAATTTTAAATCTTGTGGACATATGGGCAAATCTAAGCATATCTACGCAAATATTCTGTCTAAATTGTTGGATTAGCTTAGTTTACTTTGGCACCATGTATGTGTTCTTCTGCTTAACATGATCTACACTGTCCAGTGAAAGAAAAAGATTCTTCTTAGTCTGAGGAAGTCAGACTGAAATGTTTTGCTCTCCTGTTTTGGGATGGTTACACAAAGCTGCCTAACTCATTAGATAACATTTCCTGGTCATATGCTGACATAAGGAAGATTAGATCAAGACATAATACCTGCACCATGACCTGTTCCCAAAGAAGACACTCTGCTTCTGTAAATAGCAGGATTAAGTGATAGGGAGGGAGGAGTGTGAGAGAGAGATGGGATTAAGATAGCAGTTGTCTTGGATTCTAAAGCCTGAGGGAATTCTGTAGCAGACGTTTTTACTGTTTGCTAATTCTTTGTTAATGCTTCTATAACATCAGAAAGCATTTCACCTCAAGGCTTAACTTTATGTACTCATTGATATTACAATGTAGTTTCCTTATCTTGCATCTCTGTACTCTTCTGTGACAACGCATTTATTAACATCCCTGGCATCCCTGGACAAATTACATGTTTTGTAGATTTTCTAAGTGACGTTCTCTACAGAGAGCACACATCTGCACATTTTATTGCGCAGTTACTTTTTATTTGCTGAATTTAACATATTGGGGAAAAACTAAACCATAAAATGTGGCCTTTGAAAATATTGTGAAATATTGAAGTTCTCTGTAGAGTGTTAACTTATTTTTACTTAGACAATCAACAAAACACATAATGCGACATGTAATTTGTTCATTCATGCATTCAACTGTACATAAAACATACGCAGTACAAAAAGTCAGAAATCAACATGTTCTTGACCATGACCTCATGACATAATTTAAAGCCCTGCTCTTAATAATACAGTATTGTGCAGTGTTGTCTTATTTCTGACATGATCAATAATTGGATATTTTTGTTTTATAACCCACCTCTTTTTGGTCAGATAAGCTGCAACTGAATGATCCTAAAGGGTCTGCAAACCTGAGTTCAGCACAGCTAACTAGAGACCACTGTCTGTGTAAAAACTCACCTTTATTCGTAACTTGCAGGGAAGCCTGGACAACATGAGTATCATCATCATCTGCTTCACTGGTGCCCCCCAGGTGTCTCCTGAAGCACTGCAGCAAGAAGCAGAGCTTGAACACCTCCTAGATCTCAAAGTAGATGGTAATTTTTTCCTTTAGGACGCACAGCCAACAAATTATAAAACACAATTGCCAACTTTGCTACATGTCAGTAAACCAAATCATCATCCACTAAACAGAAATCATTCAGGTGATCAGGTCTAAAGACGAGGAGCCTGATCTGCTGTATGTGATGAAGTTCCTGGCCACAGAGGACATCCCTGGACTTCCACCAGGGGGTGGCATCACAAGCAAGTAAGGAGCTGGATGATGTCTGTAGACAACATGGACTACCAGTGCTTAAAGCTGTTAACCCTAAATTAGGACAAGAACCAATTTCTTTTCATGTTTTTTCTCCATTGCAGGAGAGACTGCGTAATTGCTGCATACCAGAAATATGCAGCAGCATTCAGAACTATTGAGCCAATGGTATGTATTCACTTTCTACTTAAACTAATCTGAATTGAGCCAAACACTAAAACTGCTTGGTGTAAGTCAGTTGTCACTGATAAAATGGTTTTAAATGTTATGTTTTTAATTCTTTAACTATTATCTGCACTACCGTTCAAAAGTTTGGAATCACTATTTTTAAATAATGCAACATGAATTTGTTAAAGCTATATGTATAAAATGATTCTATTATGATCCTACTGCTAATTTGAAGGAAGCTGTAAAAATGAAGAAAGGTTAGATATGTCCAGAATGATGAACAGAGATGTAGATGATTTCATAAAGCTGTATAACATCAAGAATTAATTTATCATTTATAACCTTGTTTCCATAAAATTTGGGGCGCTGTGCGAAATGTAAATAAAAATACAGTTCAATGATATGCAAATCATTAAAACCCTATATTTAATTGAAAATAGTACAAAGACAACAAATCAAATGTTGAAACTGAGAAATTGTATTGGTTTTTGAAAAATATACGCCCATTTTGAATTTGATGCCAACAACAGGTTTAAAAAAAGTTGGAACAGAGTATATTTACCACTGTGTTGCATTACCTTTTCTATTAATAACACTCTGTAAGTGTTTGGGAACTGAGGAGACCGACTGCTGTAGTTTCAAAAGTGAAATGTATAACAAGCCAGGTGGGCTTTAGCTCAGAATGATTTCCAAAAAGAATTTTAAAGTTTTATTTGTCAGACCACAGACTACTTTTCCACTTTGCCTCAGTCCATTTTGAATGAGCTCGGGCAGAGAAGGCGGCAACATTTCTGAATCCTGTTTATGTATGGTTTCTTCTGTGCATGGTAGTGATTTTAGTTTCATTTGTGGATGCAGCAGTGAACTGTGTTCGCAGATAATGCTTTTTTAAAGTGTTCCTGAGCCCATGCAGTGATTTCCACTACAGAATCATATCTATTTTTAATGCAGTGCGGTCTGAGGGCATAAAGATCACAGCCAGCCAGTATTAGTTTTCAGCTTGACCCTTGCATACAGAGATTTCTCTGGATTTTCTGAATCTTTTAATGATATTCTATACTGTAAATGATGGAATCCCCAAGTTCTTTTCTGTTTTACATTGAGAAACGTTATTCTTAAATTGTTGCACTATTTGTTAGCGCAGTCTTTCACAAAGTGGTGAACCCCTCATCATCTTTACTTCTTAAAGACTCAGCCTCTCTGGGATGCTCTTTTTATACCCAGTCATATTACCGACCTGTTGCCTATTTAGCATTACGCAACTTTATCAGTCTTTTGTTGCCCCTGTTGCTGGTCTCAAATTCAAAATTAGCACGTTTTTCAAAATCAATAAAATTTGTCAGTTTCAATGTTTGATATGCTGTCTTTGTACTATTTTCAATTAAATATAGGGTTTTAATGATTTGCACATCATTGCATTGTGTACATTTTGCACAGTGCTCCAACTTTTTTGGAAATGAGGTTGTAGAATTAACATCCAGAATGCTCTTTGTTTGAAAAATCAAGATCAAATCTTGAGGCAAATAACTTAATAACTTTAAAATTAAAATTTTAAAGTTAGGCAATTTACTTTAAGGCAATTATAATATAATATTTATTGCTTAAGAACTTCTTGATGTTCATAATTTTTTTTTGTTGTTGTTGTTTTACTGAATAAACATTTTAAAATACCTTCTGGTTTCTAGCTCATAGCATCCCAATCTACACTGTAGACGTTATTATTAAATTAAATTTTAAATTAACATGGCAATTATTAATATGACAGGTGATTCCACACTTTTGAACAGTAATGTGTATCTATCACCTGTATAACCAGTTTTAAAGAGACAACAAACAAGCCAAGGACAGTAAAAGCCAAACTACTGGTTTGGGTTGAGTTCTTATTTGACTTTTTATCATTCTAGGATATTGGCAGCTCAGAGGATTCCAACTAGTGGTGGTTACCTTGGAAACAGCATCACAAGCCTTCCATTCACTCTTCACTTTGTGTAAACTCTTCACTGAAAAACATGTGGGGCAGATTTTAGTCTGTACAAAGCTCTGTAAGGTTAGGAATTATGTCGACCACTGTGAAAAACTATACTCGATGTTGGGAATAGGGCAGATGCAGTGATGCAGGAGAGGACATTTCAGTCCACCATTTCAGAACCTCTGACCTGAGGAACAGTGAGTGCCTGGCTAGACCATAGATTCTGCCAACAATACTGCATCTACAGCTGCCACCTGCAGTTCCTTTATTTTATTGCAAGTAAACGATAAACAGATTTTGTCTTGTAAAATGTCTTCTGATTTGCTGATCATTATTGTTTTTGTAACATTGGGACAGGATTTTAATTGATCAATCAAAAGCAATGCCTATAACAGGTCATTTAAAGCATGGTTATTTTAGTACAGCTGACTATATCACCATTACACGGTAATCTGTACTTACTGTTCCTTCAACATAAATATAGATACCCCAAATCATATATTAATAAGTACACTGTTAGCCAGCTGTATTATGACCAAGAAATATCAATAAGCTATCATTAACAGCCATCAAGGCTGTGTTCTCCTCTGCAGTTTAAGATACATTTGTTGTATTTGACTCCCTTTTAAACGTCTGCCTTACTGAGCATGTAAGAGAAAATTGTTTCAGAGGCCCACTGCTATTGAAGTGTCAGTCACATTAAAGTGTCTCTAAAGAAAATAACTAGGACTGGGACTGAAAACTGCTTTAAAATGTGTAACATAGACACTTCTTATAGCACATGTGCCTGCCAATCTGTGACATCTGCTGACCTCAGCTAAGGTGCTACTCATTCTCAAAAAACTGCTACCCAGTATCTGCACTTCAGAGGTGGGTAGTAAACTATTTGCATTTACTCAGTTTCATGTACTTAAGCAAAATTTGAATTGATTTGTACTTTTCTAAGTGTTTTCAAAATATAAGACTTTCATGTATACTCAAGTATATCTGTGAAGAATGTAATATATGTTGTATTCTAAGTTTTTTTGACCTGGTACTTCTGTACTTCTGTTTAAATTGTTTTATGGAAAGTATAGTCTTAGGCTACTCTGCCCCCCACTGAGCTTATTATTTCATTTTCTTCAAATCTGTGCTCCAATTCTGATCACTGTTTTAATGTAAATTTAACTTGGATTACTGTTAATTTTTCAATAATTCTTTAATGATGGGTGCAGAATGTTTGTACTGTAAAAACGTAATCCTCTTACATGCATTTTGTCTCTCTGAAAATGTATCACAAATTGTACAAAACTACATGTAAAAACTGCTTTTTTATGTCTGTGTACTTTCCATATCATAGTTATGTTTGTCAGTGTTTGCTAATGGATGTTTAGCTCTTAGCATAATGAGACACTGATTAAAAGCAAAGTGTATCATTGTTAAAATAATAGGCTTTGTTGGTGCATTAACTCATTAAAATATCAGGCTTATGATATGAGACTTATTATTCAGTAACTACACAAACTACAATGCAAATTAGCTCAGTTATCCTTAGATTATAGAAGTGTGTAGTAAAACTTTGGGTCAGCTGGTGGGCCCTGGCCATTTAAGGGGTTAATGGGATATACATTACTAGATGTGAATAGTAATTAGCTACATTTCTCAAGGGCATGTACTTCAGTAAAATTTTAGATACTGTCCTGACTCAAATAATAATACTTTTACTTCTACTCAAGTATGTAAAGAAGTGAGTAAAGAAGTCTACTATTTACTCTGTTACATTTAAGCCATTCATATCTACTATTTTTACATAGTTACTATTTCCTTTTTTGTGTTTAATTTCATTTTTTGTTGGTGACAACATCTATACTGCTTTGACATTGGTCAGACCTCTGACTGTAGCTTTAGCATTTTATGTTAGACTAAAGGAATCCCATGAGGAGAGGAATAGTGTCTAATAGCCTTCAGTTTCTAGGCTGATAGTTGCTGGATTCACTAAGAAGTTCCACTGTCTATCTATTTGTTACATCAGGTATGATAGGTGTTCTTCAAATTGATGGAGAATGTGCTGTACATGGTTCTATATAGGGTTCTATATAGCACCAAAATTTTTATTGTTACAAGCTTGACATTGTAACAACAGCAGAACCCCTTTTGGTGCTATATAGAACACTTTTCAAAAAGGTTCTGTATAGAACCATCTACAGCACATTGTCCATCAATCTGAAGAACGCTTTCACCATGTAAAGAACCGTTTAAGCATGCAAGTAGTTCTGTATAGAATCTTTGGTTCTAAATAAAACCATTGCCTTTACTAAAGAACCCCTGAAGAACCGTAATTTTAAGTATGTATTGTACCATATACTAACAGAATATACTGCATTACCAGAACATGCAAATAGATACATGGACTTGGGTGAACTAATAATAATAATAATGATAATAATAATAATAATAATAATAATATAAAACTGACACAGCAAATTAGAATTAGTAAGACCTCAATGAATCTTCTTGGAATGGATTGTGCTGTTCAGGCTGCCACAAGTGAAGTGTCAGGAGGCTGCAGTGTGCAATATATACAGAATGTGTTGCTTAAGTGTGGCATGTCATGACACCTCTGTACTAATTACTCAGTCATGTCTTTGGGGGCCTCTTTTTTCATTTGTATTGGAAAAAAGAAAGAAAACATAGATAGAGGCACACAGCAAGCACAGTGGCACTTGGCTTAGAAGAAGCAACATAAACAGGACACTGCTTTAACAAAGAAGCTCTGCTGAGGTAAGCCATCAGCATGACAGCACAAGTAACCTTGTTCCTTTGTCACTCAGGTAAAGGGCTAATTAATGCTTAAATTTGTCAAAACTACAGTTTTGTTTAAGGTTTAAATATAAATGTACATTTTCAGTATAAATTAATATATAAATAGGACTAATCAGTACAGCCATTTCTTATGAGATCAAGAAATATGTGATGAATGTAATCTCTTCTGAGTTTTTAAACACCTTGTAAAACAAGCTGGTATTGTATTAGGAAAATATTTTTCATTTACTAGCTTTGCAAGTAATTTCATCACTGTGTATTTATTGCCTCAATACTTATTTACACTATTGTTGATATTGTAGTTTTGTTTCCTTGTATTTTTTTCTTATTCAAATGTTTCTGTTGGCAAGGCAGGGAGCACTGCACAAAAAAATAAACGTCAGGTCAACTTCAAATTTTGAGTCAAACTTTTTTTCATCTTTTATTCTTTTTCTCAGCTTAATTTAATCAAAAGGCAAATAGGCAAAACTACCGTGACATATTTTATACATTTTCTAAGTGAAAATAAGTTATCACATCTTCTACAGGAAGCGCACTTTAAATGGCATTTTTCTACAGATGTGAAATTTCTAACATTTTTGCTAAGTTTAACACATTAGAAAAAATGAAAAATAAACTATAAAATGTACCATGACTTTTGCACAGGCCACATTTCATGTTTTATTTTTTCCCCAATATTTACATTTTAGCATAAAAACAGCAATTGTGCATTAAAATGTGAAGAAGTGTGTTATCTGTAGAGGGTGTGTTAACTTATTTTTACTTACAAAATCAACAAAACATTTCACTTGACCAGGGGCACCTAAACGTTTGTATATGACTGTAACCTGAATATTTCTCCCTCTATTCATTGCCTGTTTCCACCCACAAATCAACCTGACCTTTATTTATTTATTTATTTATTTATTTATTTTCTACAGCTCCTGCTGAATTGCCACGTTCATTCGTTTTTGGTTATCTGTTATCATGTGAATTTATGTTTACTCTGTACTGTACTGGATCAAAGCTAAATTCATCTCTGAAACTCATTCACCCCATTTTGGTCTTCATTAACTGTCTCTGCGTGTCTGTATGTCTTACTAAGACAGAATGCCTTTAAAGATGGATGGAGACCCAGGCTACGGCAGCCTTGTGGGCCCGGGGCTCAGCCTGTCAGGCAGTCTGGAGGGCTCAGAGACCCTCCCTCTACTAATCCCAGAAGCTGCGCCAGATCTAAATACCTGGAAGCCCATGAACAGAGAACAGCTGGAGGCCGTCGCTGGTGGGCCAGGCTGGAGAAAGTTCCGCTCTCGTCTGGTCTTGCTTTTCTGGCTGGGGTGGCTGACCATGCTGGGTACTGCCATCGCAGTGGTCATTCAGAGCCCACGGCCTGTGGCCACCCCACTACACTGGTGGCAGAAAGAGCTCTTTTACCGGCTGCAGCCAGCTCTGTTCCTGGATGTAGACAACACAGAGTCCAGTGCTATTAGCAGTGAGTAGCTGCAATATCAACCAAATAAAATCCAAATAGAGTATCTATAGTGTTTAACAAGATCTTTAAAAATGAAAGAAAAACTGTTCCTAACTTTTATAGTCATTCATGAATTTTATTTCTTTTTAGTGTTGGACAATTTCTGAGTATTTATGGACAATTTGTTTTAGTACATTCATTATAAAATGTCCAAATAATGAAAATCGCAGCTGAAATTTACAAATAGTGTAAACAATTAAAAACAGTTGATAGGACAAATATGACATAGTACTTTCTGTGCTTTTGCATTCTACTAGGCTGATGTGGATTTGTTAACCTGTAAAACTCCTAGATCCATTTGCAGGTTCAGAGATTTGCCACTCTTACATACCTTACATAGTAGTTACTGAGTAATTCATAGTAGATATTGCATAATAAACCTTAATAACATAGTAATAAGCCCAAAGCGTTCAACCAGTGATGGCTAATGTTAAAATTTCATGTTGTTTATATCACATCACATTCTTTGTGAACAATAATCATGACTTTCTCCTGTTCAGAGGTATCTGACAGGCTCGACTACCTCCGGTCTCTGGGGGTTGGGGTGATGATTTTGGAGGGTTTGTTCAGGCATGATGTTTCCCCACCCAACCTGACTGAGATTGACCAGCGACTGGGCACTTTACCACAGTTTTACCAGCTCATCACAGACTGCCATAAAGCAGGTAGATTAGGGATTGTCTGGATTATCTGGAGAGCTTCATCGCTCCAGTGTACACATTATTGCTTTGGTGTGCTTTATTCACTGAAAATTCAATAAGCAGAGGCCTCCTAGGTCTGCAGGAGGTGGCGCCGTTCAGTCATACATTTCCAAGTTTGATAGATTTGTAGGTGACTGGACATTTCAGTAGAAAGACCTTCAGTCTAATCTGTCTATTTCCTGTGTCATTTTTAAAAATAATCTATTTGATATTAATTGAACAAAAAGAAAAGGGTTATTTGAAATGATGCCATAAGAGAACTACTTTTTGTTCCCTAAAGAACTTTTTAAGAAGCATTTATGTATGTGAGATGCGCAAGAGTGATGACTTTTTTAAAGTTTAAAGAATCTCTATTTAATAATTGACATTTTTAGAACCATACATCTATTGCTAACAACAATTTAGGAACCTTCATTTCAAACATAGGTTAGTGTCTATAGAAAGTACAGAATGAGATGAAATGCAAAGTGTAAAGTTGGTAAAACCTGAGTAGATTTCCAGTTAATAGCATTTTAGAACTCATAAGAGATTAATTACACAGTACTTGAACCACAAAACAACATTCCTGTCTGTATAGAATTAGTAAAAGTTATTTGTATAATCCAGGTGTAAGAATCATCCTGGACCTCTGCAACCTGGATCTGCTTAACGGACCTGAGTTCAGTAACAAGACGGAGATGTTATCTGATTCATCTGTCCAGGTAAAATCATCTTAAAACTCTAAAAACACTTTAGCACCTTTTGCTATGTTACCACTAGTACCATATCTGTTGGAGACAGATCCAGGCAGAGTACTCCACTGTCTTACGCTGTACCATTTCTTTTCTAGGACTCATTAAGATACTGGCTTGTGTTAGGGGTGTCAGGATTTGGAATCTGTGATACAGACTCTGCCTTTTCTGAAAAGGTAAAGCTGTCCTGACGATGCATTTCATGTGGTGATATAATCTTCTGAACCAATCCTGCTTTACTCTGGTAAAAGGAAGACTTTAGTATGGTTATTATAAAAAAGTTATTATATGTTTATGACTTCCAGACACTGACAGAATGGAGAGGACTTGTTGAAGAGTTCAACATTGAGTACAATGAAAGGTATTCTACAGCTGCTTTAGCTCCAACATAATATGAATATATTATATTATCCATCCATCATCTAAACCGCTTATCCTTCTGGGTCGCGGTGGGGTGCTGGAGCCTATCCCAGCTGTCATCGGGCGGAAGGCAGGATACACCCTGGACAGGTCGCCAGTCCCATGGCAGGGCAGACAAACAGACATATACATCCACACACACTCACGCGCACCTAGGGGCATTAGCATGTCCAATTGGCCTGACTGTATGTTTTGGGCGGTGTGGGAAGGAAACCGGACGAGAGTACCCGGAGGAAACCCACGCAGGACACGGGGAGAAACATGCAAAACTCCACACAGAAACGACCCTGGTCACCCGGCCGGGAATCGAACCCAGGCCCTTCTTGCTGTGAGGCGACAGCGCTACCCACTGTGCCACCGTGCCGCCTTATATTATATTATATTTTATTAGATTAGATTAGATTAGATTAGATTAGATTAGATTAGATTAGATTAGATTAGATTAGATTAGATTAGATAACAATATCATACAGTATATTATAATGTGTTGCTGTTGGAACAAAACCTTGTCTCAGAATTGGTAGTTTTACATGACAAGAATAAACTAATTATTAACTATGAATGTAAGTTTCTATTGATCCATTCATTATAAAAATTATCACATTGTAAAGATATGAAAAATATAAAACAACAACAAAAATGCTGATTCAAGGTTTTGTTCATTTTAAGATGAAACACAGTCATATGCATAGTTTGAACACCTTTGGTCAAATGACATCTTTTGTAGCCTAGTTGAAGTGAACACATCCTCTGCAGGTAATGCACTCCAATAAGACCTTTTCTGTTAATATTACTGTACAATTTCTATTTATTTACTGTGTTTAGCATACTGTGCCATAACCTTTGCACAGGCCACATATTTTTCCAGTATGTTAAACTCAGCAAGTAAGCAGTGATGGTGCATTAAAATATATGTGTATTCTCTGTAGATGATGTGTTTACTCATCAACAAAACATGTCATTTGACAAGTGGCACCCAAACATATGCCTATGACTGATAGAGGTGTAAAGATGCACCTATGAATCCTGACAGGTCAGTCTGATGGTAGCAATTTAACTGCATATTTTAAAGAGTTATTGATTATTAAAATATGTGCTTTGCCAAAATGAAATTATCAGGCTGTTTTCCAATGTAACAAAACATTTTGTTTATATTCCACTAATGTATGTTCTATGTGTTAAATAAATGTAAAAATACTCAATCAAACCAAAATAATCAAATTGAGATCAGAGATTTATTAATGTATTATATTATTATAAGTTAAAGTCCTGAAAACTAGAACAATGACACAGGATACAGTCTGAGCAGCAGTACACCACACAGATGTGTAGTAGTTATTACATGTGTGTATGTTATTTTGTAGGATTGTGATGGTGAAGCAAACAGGTGATTCCTCCTCAGCACTCAACGCATCTAGGCCAACAGTGAACAGCTCTCTGGTGGATCTGGTCTCAGAGTCTTTGCTCCCCTCGTCCTTCTACCAGTTATCTGCAGCTAAGCTAGCTGAAGCCATGGAGACCAGGCTGAAGACACTGCAGGGAGAATGGTCAAGCTGGACAGTAAGTGGACATCTTTCTTTACAAATCACTACCCCAGGAATTTCTGTGGGAAAAACTCCTGTTCTCTCCATTTACTCTCAATCTAGAACAAATAAACAAACAAACAAAAAACTTGTTGGAGTTTCTGTCAGTCTGTGTGTACATCTTTAACATTAAAGGCATCATAGCATCTTTTAAGATAAAGAAGTCCTTTACAAATTAGATATATATGACATTTCCCTGCAAATTTGTGTGTACAATTTCTATTTATTTGCTGGGTTTCACATAATGAAATTTGGATGATGAGAAGCAGAAAATGTAACCAATTTCTAAAACTGAACTTTGTAGGTATGGAAAATATCCCAGCAGATTTCTTTGAAAAACTGGAAGCAAGTCCATTGAAAAGAATGGAAGTAGTAACAAAGGCACAGTATGGGTATTCATATGTATTCATATGTTGTATAGTAGTCCAGCTCACTTGCCTGTGGAAATGCGTGTTGCAGGTGGACAGGCCTATAGCCTGGGAGCTACAGAAAGTCTTCATGGTTTTGATAATGACCCTACCAGGAACTCCAATTATCAGATATGGTGATGAGATTAGCCAGCCTGTGGTAAGCAGAGAGCTTTAGTCAGCTGCCAACATGCTATCAGTATATTCACTTAAAGTACATCATAATATTGTACAGCAAATCAAATATAAACATGATAATATTAACATCAAGTCATTGATTTGTCTTTGTGTATAGAATGTTTCTGTATACTTGCCTATTGATGACCAGGCACATGAAGACACTATACAACAGGTAAGCAAGATCTTTTAACAATACTACTTATTTATTAAGCAATAATTACTTTTTCCATGCACAGATGTATGCAAATGTTTGGATATCCCTACTCAACCTACATATTTTGTCAATTTTCTAAGTGAAAATAAGTTAATAAGTCCTCTACAGTAAACAAACAAAAATATGGGATATCTGTGCAAATTTCAAATATTTAAAATTCAGCAAATAAGCAGTAATTGTGCATTAAAATGTGCAGAAGTGTGTTCTCTATGGGGGTGTGCTCACTCATATTCACAATCAACAAAACATTTGGTGTGCCCAAACTTTTGCATGCTCATGTGAGACTTTGTCTTTCTCTGACAGAATCAGATCAAATCGAGGCGCTCCACTTCGCTCTTCCAGTCTCTGAGTCGCACTCGTTTTCGTGAAGAAGCACTTCTTTTTGGCACCTTTACCTTTCTCCCTTTCAACAGCTCTGCCCAATCTAACTCCTCAGCCACGCCCCCTCTAGCCTTCCTGCGCTCCTGGGGTTGCGTTCATGTCCTGGTGTTGTTTAACCTGGGTTCAGAACCTCAGTCTCTGGACCCTAACTGGGCCCCCAGCCTCCCTGAAGAAGGAGTGTTTGTGACCAGCACGGGTCTGGACCGTCTCGGGGCTGTGTCCCTTCAGTCCATAAAGCTCCACCCACATGAGGCCATTGTCATTAAACTGTTTGAACCAGACAACTATTTCTGAGAGGATGCATGAAGCTCCAGTGGAGAATGAGTGGTGTCAGGAGATGCCTAAAATCACAATGGAACAGATCAGAGGTTTCTGGGAAAGAGTAATGCTACAGCTGAACGCATAATCTTGAAAAAAGCAATGTGGTATGATTTACTTTCGTCTTTTGTCAACATATGGAAGATAAGAAAACACACTAATGAAATTAAATAAAAGCACATTGCCCTTCACAAGTCATAAGCCCCATATCTGTTAGGGAAATGATAAAGAAGTTTAAAACAATCAGAGCTTTGTGAACTAGCCTGGAAATGAATGCAAGTGTATTTTACCCATATGCATAGTAAGGAGGAGAGTTAGAGAGGAATGTTTGTTTTGTAAACACACACACAATCCAAATTTATGCCTGCAGCACATTCCAAACAAGTTGGGACAGGAGTATGTTAGCCACTGCGTTAAATCACCTTTCCTTTCAGCAGAACCATAAAGGTTCTTTGTGGTTGCACTTTGCACTTCATTATGCACCATACACTTTCAGTGTTCTTAAACTGTTTGGTTACTCGCTGATGCAATTTTTTTTTTTTGGCAAAAGTGGTGAGCCTCAACCCGTCCTTGTGGATGAAGGACTGGGCCTTTCCTAGATGCTCCGATTATAGCCAAGCATGATTGCATGACCTGTTCTAGATGTCTTTCTGAACATTTTGCAACGTTCCTAGTCTTAACTTGCCCCTATCCCATTTTCATCATTTTTAGTCACCTCAACCCCAGCAACTGGATTAAATTACATAAAGCATATTCATGTATGGCCTTCCAATGTGCAGAATATATGAGAGAAAAAATGAACATTTTGTGGCAAAAAAAATCTTTTGTACAAAATCCTTTGTCATATACAAAAGTTTGAACACCCCTGGTCAAATCACATGCTTTATGGATTTTGTAAGTCAAAATAAGTTCAGCATTAACAGAGAACACACTTGGATATGGCATTTTTCTGAACATTGTAGTGCACAATTTCTTTTTATCTTGAAAAAAAAATACAATCAGAAATGTGTCATAATTTATGCACAGGCCACATTTTATATTATGTGTTAAATACAACAAATGAACAGTAATTACGCATTAAATGTGCAGAAGTGTGTCCTCTGCAGAGGATGTGTTCACTTATTTTCACTCAGAAAATCAACATGTAATTTGATCAGAGACATACAAACTCTTGCATACAACTGTACATTCATTGTTCTGAACACTAAAACATAATTAGACACATTTTTTACTTATTTTTTGTTACTTTCTGTTACAAACGTAATGTGACTTTTGTTTTATAACCACATGAGGGCGCCATAATATAACTAATGCTCAGACGTTGCTACAGTCAAACTCCAGCAAAGGCAAATCACAACAGTCCTGCTCTTTCTGGAAACAGGCTACAGCTAATATGTAGCTGTTCTCTCTGAAGACCTGCCCAGAGCCTTAAACCACAAGAACCTGAATAAAAGATGCGATTCTGGAATGGACAGGATTTGGTGGTTTGTGGCAGGATCATGACTAAGGCTGCCTCTTTTTTCCCTAGATGATTCATGTGAATGCTTTGCAGATGATTGCAGATGACAAAAGGAAAGAAAAATGAAAGGAAACATGAACAAATTGTGTTTTCTAGTGTGTATTCATAACATTTGAATAATTTAGCAGCCATACAACGTTTTTTTCTGTTTGTCAGGCTATACTCTTTCAACTAATGTTACCCAGTGCCAGTGCCCAGATATATGCTCATATATTTTGTCTGTGAGTAATAATGTTTAATAAGGGAACCAGTTATTAAAGCCATATTTTTCCATTGTAAAACTGCAGTGCAGCTGTGTTTTTGGGCATATCTTTGGTGCCATATTCAACAGGCATGACATAGACTGATATCGAGGGATGTTGTTCAAAACAAGTGCAGTAAAATGAACAACTAAACACTGATGAGTAAAACCTTCAAATCACATTGCATAGAAAGATACATATAGCCCTTTTAATTATTATTTTTGTTTGTTTGTATCATTTAGCATTTCATCGCTGTTAAAACAAATTGTTACTAGAACAAGAAAAAAAACATTAATTGAACAGGATTTTTTCCAAGTAATTTTGGTTGATTCATCATGAAATGTTAGCACAGCGAAAAGGGTGACTGACACTTTAAATTCAGAAAGAATTCAATAACAATGATAAATTAATTAATTTATTAATTAAACGTGACAAACATGGAGATTTTGTCCTAACAATGGCAATTTGCTGAACATTAATTCTCTTTTGGAAAAAAAGTCCATAGAAATACTATAGGAATGTCAACAGCGGGCGTGTCAAACTGGGGACAGTCCAGGGCAAAGTGTTGTAAAGATTAGCATTGAATTCAGTTGAATGAAGGCTTTGCTAATTAGCTAATTAGCTGAATCAGGTGTGTTTAATGAGGCAGCATCCTGAAGTCTGCAGTGTTTTGGCCTGCAAGGACTGCAGCCTGACACATGTGGTCTACAGGAATATACCATACAGCTCCTGTTCAGATCGTTCGGTAAAATAGAACAGGAAAGTTTGTGAATGAACTTTAAGTTGGTGTGACAAAGCCATCACTACAAAATCTCAAATGGTTGCTAAGGTTTGGTTGGCCATTGCTACGGCATCCGAGGCAGATGTTGAAGTGTTTTTAGGCTGTTGCTATGTTATCCTAGGCCATTGCTAAAGTGTTGGAGGTCCGGGTGATCCAATGGGTTTTATGGGTATAAACAACTGTCTTTAACAATTTTGTCATTGTGTTATGGCCAGTCATAATCTGGATGCTCTCCATATCTTTCCTAAACCATTCCTAAACAGTTAGTGTGTACTTAAGTATCGAAAGTAAAAGAACTAAAAGATTAATTATGACTCTAATGTTCTACTATCATTTTGTAACAAGACTCTTGTTTCATTAACTCATTTTAGGTGAAAATACTCTAGTGTCACTCTCGGTAAACCAGTCTTTTAAGAGAATGTCATTAGTTAGTCTGACACTAATGTCTATTAAAATGATCATAAGCACAAAACACTGAAGGCAAACAATTTCCATTAGGTAGAACCAAGTGGTTCTGAAATAACTTTTTGCAAACAAGCAAAGTTTCAGTTTAAAACTTATTTGCAACTTAGTTACAAGTTTAAGTTTAATAAAAACTTGCTTTAAACCCAGATTCACAAATGAGATTTCCTTTACTCTATTGCATCTGAAGGTCTCAAAAAAACATAAACTAGCCAAAACAAATGAAAAAATGAAATAGTGTTCGTATAAATTCAGAAAAAAGAAACATGCCAGTCTCAACTGCATATGTGTACATATTTCTATGTTGTGGTCTATTTACACAAAGTTGGTTCCATCATTTATGTTGGCATAGGCTCCCAAAACTTTACGCTGCTGCACTGACATTGAACCGTACACTTGCACTGGGTAGGTATGTCCAACAGGTCAAAACAAGCTCAAAACAAAGTGCGCGCTGTGCCCTGATTGGTGTTCTTGCTTCACGCTTCTTTCGTTTTGACGTTACATTTTTATACACATATAAGCCAAAAGGAACAACAGATTTCGCATAATGTAGTGGAGTAAAAAGTAAGATATTTGACTTTGAAATGCAGTGGAATAAAAGGAAAAAGTCACCCAAAATGGAAATACTTCAGTAAAGTACAGATAAAAGAAAAACTACTTAGGTACAGTAATGAATTATATTTACTTTGTTACTGTCCACCACTAGGGGTAGTAGAGGCACACCAAAGATTTGTGCCCAGTGGTTGATAAATTGATGATTCAGGCTTGATTGTTATGTTATCCCAGGTGCTTGCTAATAAATGCGTGTGTGTGTGTGTGGGTGTGTGTGTGTACGTGTGTGAGTGTGTGTGTGTGTGTGTGTGTGTCTGTGTGTGTGTGTGTGTGGCAGTGTAAGAGATGTCTCTTGTGACATAATTCGTGGAGAGATTTGAATTCTTGCAGCATTCAGCTATTCATTATCTATAGGGGAAAAATGTGTTTGAATAAAAGCTGTGCGAAAACTGTACATGCGATTGGTCCCAAGAGCACAAGCACACAATTCCAGCATAGGCTGCACAATCCTGCAAAGATTTTTGGTTCTGGCCCAAAAACAGTGACCTGTGAAAACAGTAAAAACTATAGAATAATAAAATAAACAACACTAAGTTAGCTTTGTTATGCCAACTTAATTGAGACAATTACCATAGTTTACAACAGGATACTACACAAGTGTTATAGATTAATATAAGACAGTACAACAAGAATATCGTAGAAGGTGAAAATATTATTAATTACTACAGAAGTTTTACTCAGCACTATAGTAAACTTCCAGTTTCCAGTAACTGTTAAACTGTAAAAAATCTACAAAGATTTTGTAGGAAATATGGCTTCATAAATATTGTCTGCAATGCTAACACAGGGGCCGAGGCTGTGGAAAGTGTGAAACCATCAAAGGGCAACCATCAAACGAAGCTTAGTGTCTCAAATTCAGACAGCGCATAGCTTCAGAGAAAGAGTTTCAGCCAACGCACATGTGTTAAACTGCTCAGCTACTGAGAAGAGAGCAGGTTTGAATTATCCTGTTGTGCATGATTGGTCATTTTAAATGAGTAGAATGCCACAAAAATATTTTTAGGGAAGTGAAAGCAATATTACAAACAACTGTGCTTCCTTGTGGACAGGGCCAAAACACACTAGACAGGATACGGTCACTTGTCAGTCTTTCACTTTTTTCACTTTTCAGTAATTTGGTATAAATAGTTATTCTCAAATTACCATTTAACTAAACATTTCAGTAGTTTGTACTATGGTTGAACTTTGCAATATGGTTTGAATTTTCATCTCATAGTGATGGGTGACTAAGGGAATTTAACCTGTGTCACCTCATATTTGTATGTCAGTTGACACATTTGACCATTTAAGAATTCCTGAATGCTCAGGTGAATTTTCAGACATAAAATATGAATGAGAATATACTTCAGGTAGATATGAGAATTTATAGGGGTACCACCCGTTGTGGCACACATAGATTTGA